GTGTAAGTGATGTCATCTTACTGAATATAAAGAGTAAAATACTACTTGCTATGCAATTTATTACTAGACATGTTTCTAAGTTTACCATTAATATTGAAAGATAATGCCAATGAATTTCTAAGATAATAAATTACTTTCCCACCTTGATTTCAATTATTCCTCAAATCCATTAGTACTTTCTAATCAGAATAGAAGACCCATTACAAATAAACATCCTAAACAATTTACGAAGCTATATTAATATTCAGTACATGCACAAACTAAGTAAGAGTATGAATATGATTCATAACTAGATATTAAATACTTCAGTAGCAAAGTAACTGCTACCATATATATAATTTCTAAAGCTTTAATCCAAATCTAAGCTCAGAGGAATGTCATATTTCTACTTCGTATTTGAATGGTTAAAAAATTTATCATCTTTTTTTTCAAAAGTTTATTAAATATTTAAATTTTACACTTTATAAATTTTATAAATGTAATTTTTTTTTTTACATCTGTCATTAGGACTTGACTGGTGATTTCAAATACTCCCAATGTAACTTGAATGAAAAATGTGAAAGAAAAGCTTTGATATATATAAGTTTATCTCCTCACGTATGATTGACTTTGTACCTATAGTTTCTCACAATTTTATTAGTCCCCAACCGGTGACATCGGAGGGGACTATAGGTTTCCTCTGGGTCTGTCCGTCCGTCTGTCTGTCTGTCCCTCTAGCTGTCCCTCTGTCTCTTTGTCAGTCTGTCCCACTTGGTTTTCTGCACTTTTTTTTTCTTAACGCTTGCAGATATTGAGCTGATTTTGGTATGTGACTTAACCTTGAACAGTTATAGATCAAGTTTGCATTTCGTTCCGCTTCACTGATTTTTGAGATTTAACGGGAACCAGATTACACTTGCTGGTAGGTGACTAGTATTCTAATGCAATACTCTCAGAATGCTTGTTACATATGTTTTTGACTTAAAGTACATTGCCAGTGATTTTTAACACGGCCAATTTACTAGAGTGCATTATTTTTTTATTAATTGTACTTATGATAAGAAATGCCTGATAAGATTTAGAATGTATTTGATTATGAGAACAAGATACATGATTTTCGTATAAATGGAAGATAAACTATTGATAGACTATTGAATTTAAATGATTTTAAAAAATTCAAGCAATCAAAACCACCTATTTTATTCCTTGGCGATTTGAAAAGGATCAGAAAATTAATATATTTTCATTTGAATATTTTGTCATATTTTCAGACTGTCCATCCTGTCCATTCAATATAAAACTATGTAAAATTATGATTATGATTGATAACTACACATTATATACCTAAGTAGTATGGTGATACCATAATTCGTAATTTTTGAATCAGAATTTTCTGAAGTATCATATTTCTACTTCCTATGATTTTAAGACTAGTCATTTTCCACCATTTTATTAAATATGTGCCATAAAATGACATTAACACTTTGAGTTGTATTTTGGTATACATTTGTCATTAGATATTGAGGGTTTTTGTACAGATTTCACATGTACGTAACTTGTATATATGAAAAATAGCTAAAGAAAAGCCTTTGAAGCTTTGAAAAAAACTTTTAAAACATTTGAAATCACGCAATTTATCAAAATCAATAGCATCAAAACGTACATGCACAGCATGCACTTTATACAACCATTTCCCACGATAAATATACAGGTTTTTGACATCATGAAGAATTAACTGCTTTTTAAGAAGAATGGAGCTCGTGAATATGCATACCTTGTCAATGGACATCTGCATACTTACTATGTAAAAAACAAAACATTCTGATTCTACGCACAAGTAGTCTGAGTTTCTCATTGACAATATCTATGCAGTTTTTGGAGGCTAAGTTTTCCAAACATCTATTAGAATTCACAGGGGTACTAACTGTGCCCATTTATAAGCAGACCTGTTTTGTATTCTTATGAAGCAGAATTTATTCAAAACCATTTACATAAAAAGAAGAAGTCTCTTGCAGTGGCCTTTAATTCGATATTTATATCTATCGATGAAGTTTTATGAATTAACAATAATTATTTTCATTCAAACACTCATTCTTTACACTTTGTCAGAATGGATTAAAGTATCAGATGGGTGTTGAAATCCCGCAGTAAACGGTTGAGGGGCATGTCTTAAATAATTATGAAGTGAAAAAAAGAGTAAGATAGATAACACGATCACTATACACTGGTCCCAGCTGACAAAGCAGGTAATAGTATAATTATCTTTGTTTGTAAGGCTCATTATCATTGAGGTATTTTAGAGGAACTTTAATTCTGCAAGTGATAATCCAACTAAAACTCGTATTTTTCTTTCTAAGGGGGGAAATTCTTCAAAATTATATGCAAGTTTTGAATATTTATTATTATTAATATTTCAAATAATAAAATTGAATTTGAATAACCATACCAAATTGAAATTGAATTACCATACCAAACATGAATGAAAAGAGACAAACCATTTTTTCACACTTCACGATAATTAAAAGTGAAATCTTTAATATCAATGTAATTGCTTTAAGAACAGATAACCACGTCTCTAAAATTGCATTGGCACTCCGAGTTAAACATTGTACGTGTATATATCGTAATCATGTAATTTTGTAATGTTGAAAATATAACGAGTAGATCCTCCAAAATAAAATTTTATGACTCTAAACTGCTTAAGTGTATTTTTTAATTCACAACTTTTAAGATACTTCAGTCTTCAGACCAATAATTGTAAATAGATGTAAACGTGATTGTGTGATCTACATGTACCAGAATATTCCTATGTCCTTTAATGAACGCTGTAGGTGTATAATTTACATTTTGTAAACAAAATTATTTTTAAAAAAATAGGTTTAAATGTGTAAAACGTGGTATTACTGATACTATTATTACCAGATTCTATAAGGTAATATTTCTTTATTTACTGTGAGTATTAGCGCGTTGTATTATGTGTTGAGGGTCTTTTTTTATTTTACAGTACACATATATTTTGGAAACATCCTAATTAAATTTTTGTTTTATACTATGCTTAATCGATGAATTAATTGTTTTTAGTTTTAAATTAAGTAATCACTTGCCAAATGATTAATGCCATTTATGCATTAAACTATTGATTCATAGGGGTTGTGGGTTTTAAATTTATTTCGTGGTTCCTTCTTAAATTCGGTCGCGAAATGACCGCGAATATTAACACTTCGCGTAAGACTTGTGCCACAGTTCAATTTGAAATGATGGAGAACTCTGCTTAATGATAGGTTGTATTTGCTGACAAGGTCATTGCATCGATCATAAAACTTGCGAAAGTATGACTTAAACGAGACTGTTGATATCCTTGATTCATCAACTTGTTTGTCAATAGCTTGTCTCGTTATAGAAATTATTCATACGTAGAGCATGCTCTTGCGTTTCGAATCAACTGAGAGACAAAACCCCATAAGCAGGTGATACATGTAAGGGTATATTTCTACATAAGTAAGGGAAGTAGACGATAGAAAAATTGAAGTCATCAAGTTTATCATAAAGTTTTGTTGTTATAGGTTATCATTAAAGTCTTTTTCTAGTAATATATTCAAATATCAAACAGATGAGTCAGACTATGTGGTATCTTTTATATCAAGATCAATGGGATATATCGAGTCGACATATATGAATGGAAGTAAACATTGTTAATTGATAATACGTCGTCGATGTATCCAAATGTGGCGTTGAAGGCCACAGCAAGTGTTTTCTTCTTCTCATGTAGAAGTTTTTGATTAAAGTCTGCTTCATATGAATACAAAAATGTGTCTGCTAATAAGGGGGCGCACTTGGGAATTCAGAAAGATTATTGGAATACCTTATCTCCAAAAACTACATAGATATTGTCAATCAGAAACTCAAGCATCTTTTTTTTTTATATCAACTTCAGAGTACTTGTGTGTACAATCAGAATGTTTTTTATAATAAAATAATTTTGCAAATGACCAATGACAAGTACATTTAAGAGTTCCATTTTCATTGAAAAAGCAGCTGTCTATGATGTCAAAAAGCTTGAACTTTACTTTATCCTTTGGAATGGTTGTATAAAGTTTTGAAAAGTTTTGCGTTTTGATGTTATTGATTTTGTTAGAATTTTGTGATTTCAAATTTTCTAAAAGTTCCATGGAGTTTTTAAGCATCCACTTCTGATTAATACCACTTCTCGAATATGCTGGTGTACAGTACTCCTGAAGTTTCTCTTAGGAGTAAAGAAAAAGGGTTGGTAGAACATTTACTGGAACCCGCTATGTACTGAGTATCTTAGTTTGTAAGGATTTTTGTGGATTTTTGGAATAAAGTATATATAGGTATGGTAATTCAAATTCATCATATTCGAGAAAGGTTAATCAGATGAGGATACTTAAAAACTCTAAGTAACTTTAAGAAAATTTGAAATCACTAATTTTACCAACTTTTGCTTTTGTTTCAATTAGTTTTCCCATTCCCATATTAACATTTCCAAATGTTTTCCTTAAGATTCTTTGCAAATTAGAAAAAGTGTATGTTCTCACGAAGTATATACGTGGCATGAGTAAGAATATTTCCATTGTGGTGTGATTGAAGTCAAAAAATATTTCAAACTTTTTTTTCACAAATGATCATTGAATGACAAAAATATGTGGCAAGTCATCAGAAAAATAATGTAAATATAAGATATATGTAATGAATATCATTTTTGAGAATTCATGAGGTACATGAACTACAACGCTTCACGCATGCATATTTATCATTTAAATATGCAGGCGTGAAGCGTCGTTACGGTAGTTCATGTCCTCATGAATTCACATAAATTAAATTCATCTCTTAAGTAATATAAATCCCAGATGAAAGCATGCTAAGAGCTTTTCAGTACTTTGTTTATTGGGATCCGCGCCTCTCCTGAATTTCGAAATTGCGAATTGAGTTGCTCGCCCTTTGTTTATGTCGGATGTTTACATTATGTTTATACGTTTACTTTTCATAGAACAAGTTACAATTTGATATTATTTTTCACCGATAAATTCATTTAAACCGGTGAAACTTTACATTCTATGATGCATGCATGGGTTGGTTTTATATCAGCTTGAAAACAGTCACGGTTTAAAAATATATATATTACACATACTTAAAGGATTTCCTTATAAGGAATGAGACGAAGTATTCTGTATTGTCCAGACTAACCTGTAAGTTATTTCAACGCAGTTGTTCGGTGAATATACTGGTAAGTATGTATACTCTATATATTTGTCGAATTTAACGTAATTGAATTAATTGATGGGTTATGGTATTATATTAATTGAAACTGAATTTTTATATTTATTCGATATGTGCATGATATGCTCTATAACTGAATGACATGCTAGTAAATATTCAAACTAGTGCCATTGTATTAAATTTGTGCAATGATATTTACATGAACTGACAGGACATGTCTCTAGCGGACTTTCTGAGGGGAAATCTCCCTAACCCAGCTGATGACAATCCCATAGATGAGAACCCCGGAACGGCTAGTCTCCCCATCAAATGGAAGACCACCTGTGTCACGATACCTGAGGATGAGCACACCATTTTTACTGCTGTACGATATAACGACTGCCAGAGAGTCGAACAAATACTACGACAGAGCGACATTGACGTCAATATAGTACACAGATGTGAGTAGCTCAGATGCATGTATATCTTATGTTATGTACAGTATTTGTTGATAAGTAAAGGGTTTTTTTTATTATTGTTTTTTAAGATAAAAAAAATAAACATGGTACTCTACATAGAACAGTTGTTAAAATATTTTACTCTGTTATTTTTTTATAGCATCACAATGTTTACTGAAAAAAAGTAGGGTACAGAAAAGTGTGGCTATGCAGTTGAATGAATATACCCCTCTACATATTGCCTGCTTACATTCTAATATCGTGGTAAGTGTTAATCTTTTTTTATTGATTATAATTTATGAGTCTATTTCATTTATTTAAATGATAATGAATATGAAACATATCTAACGCTTCACAATTCCTTACAACTCTTTAATCAGGTTATTAGGTTACTACTGAAACACAACGCCGACGTTAACGTTAAAGATTCGACCAATCGAACACCACTTCACTATGCTGTTCTTGCTAATCGTTCGGATGTTGTTAATCTCTGCATAGAAAATGGTGAGTACATCAGATACTGTATAGTTATGATTTATCATAATCTTTCAGAGTTGTAATGTGAGCGTAAAATAGATCTAATTTTAATGTTAGTGAAGTGAAAGTTTCGCATCGGTAGGTGCTGACGTTAACCAGCAAACTTCCAGTGGGAAGACCGCCTTAATGTACGCTGTACAAGAGAAAAGCATAAATATAGTACAGGCTTTACTGGACGCTGGAGCTGACGTCAGTCTAAAAGATGTCAAGGGTGGGACAGCACTGGAGATCTGTTTGTTATCAGGGGGAAGGACAGTTAACACCGAGATTGTTAAGGCACTTCTGCAGGGTAGGTATTCTTACGTAATTTTAGATTAATTTCATAACGTATTAACAACACTTTAGAACAAAGTAAATTTTAAAGCTGTTATCACAGTTTTTATCCTGAATTTGTATTATTTGCACTGAGTCTTCCATCCATGTAAAAGCTTAACCATAACCATTTATTAGCATTTTTCAAGAATAAAAGAATGTCCAGAAGAATGGAAATATTCATTGGATATAAAAAGAAAAATTATTAAAGCATGAATGACCTTGATATGACTTTGTTCTCTCTTTAAGCTGGAAGTGACCCAAACGTGGAAAACCTTTATAAAGCCACGCCTTTGATGTTGGCGGCAGGTACTGGACAGCTAGAGGTCATCAACTTGTTGTTAGACGCGGGCGCTGATATAAACCATGTATGTCAAATGTACACTGTTTACAAAAATATATTATGAATACTTTTTAGCAATCTGAATGGAATTGTAACCCGTACATTATATTGGTTTGAAAACAGGAATTTTGGTCACCTGCAAAAAGTTAAAGCATAATCCCTGTTAATTTGTGCCTCTGCGTTATTTCCGCGTCTGATCACATAAATTTTATTCAAGATGATCTTCCATTTTAACGCTTTGTGGTTTTTGTCATCAAAAAGAGTAGTGATCAAAAATCATGAAGACAATATCAAGCTAGTAGATTGCTTACTTGAGAAAAGCCCCTCTTGTAAGGGGGGGGGGGGGTCTTATCGGAAAAAATTCGGTAAGGGGGCGTTAAACTTTTCGGAAACGTCTGATTGCTATTTTGACTTTTTTATCGAATGTGTCCTCCTCCCGTTTTTGACGGGTTTTAGTTTCAAAGTAAAAATAACTCGAATTTCGGGTGATGAGGTAGTAATTCTAGTAGGTTGAAATAGAAACTCGGTAGCATAATGCGAAATCGGCAATTTTGCTAACGGTTTTTTTACTAAATACTTTTAATTTGTCGTCACTTATTATCATAGGAAGACAACAAGGGTAAAACCGCATTTAACATCTGTTGTGAACACACTCGTATGACGAAGGCGGGACGTCTGCTAATTTCCAGGGGCGCGGACATTAACCATAAGGATCACGCTGGTAAGTCATGGAAACCAAAAGTGTAAGTCAACATTTAGGAAAAGGAGCATGTTGTATTAATATTGTACTAGAGAGCATATAGTGTATTGAAATCAAACCCAGGGGAATGTAGAATTGATATCAAATTGAAAAGCTTGTGGTTAAACTCGGGAGCATAACTCAAAAGCACGAAGTATTCATATCAAATCCAAGAGAATGCTATATTGTTGATAAATTAAACCCAGAAGGATTAAGTATTAATATCAGACCCAGAAACATGTATCTAGTATTGATATCAAACCCTGGAGAATATAGTATTGAATTCAGAAGCCTGTAGCTAGTATTGAGATCAAATTCAGGAGCACGTGGTATCGATGTCAAGCCCATATAAGCACCTGGTATCAATGTCAAACCCATAAGCACGTAGTATTAATGTCAAATCCAGAAGCATGTAGTATTGGTGTCAAATCCAGGAGCATGAAGTATTGATGTGAAACCCTAAAGCATGAAATCATTGATGTCAAATTCTGAATCATAGAATTTATACTAAGTCATTTACAAAAAATTGTATTGACTTCCAAGAAGTTCTATAGGATTTTTTTGTTTTTTAAGTGTAGTAAAAATTGCTCAAACGCTCAGTCCAAATCAATTTATTATAAAAAGCACATTTTATTTTATTATGCAGAAATTCTTTAAAGTAAGTAATTTTTTTCGTGCAGCAATTTTCATTTTTTTTTTTTTTTTGGAAATAATCTATGGTAGATCGAGGCCTTTAAAAAGGTCAAGTAAATAGTATATTCCAAAGAATTAAAGTTGAAAGACGAATTAAAATACCACATAAGAATCGAAAACATGCAATTTTTTTTCAGATACCTGGATATCTATTATTTTTTATCCTGAAAATATAATGGTCAATTTCCAACAAGAAAATATACATTATTGATGTTTTGTTCTTACTACTTTAAAAATACAAGTATTTGGAATATTGTAATTTTCCATATATAGTGTGATTAGCATTAATGATGAACTTAGACGAAAATTGCATGGGTATAAAAATATATTATTTTGTGAATTCAGTGACTTTTTGTGAGCATTTTTAGTTTTTCAGAATCTGAAGGACGGTCAACCTTAGGTGTTCTAAAATCTAAAATGGCCAAAAATCTGTCTAAACGGATTGCGCAAAGAAAATTATTCTTGCTAATACACATTTAGAAGTCTTTCCTAGAATACTTACGATCCTATATTGAGTGGCGAGCCACTACATATTATGTTGATATAATTGTAGCTGAAGATCGGAGTTTGTAAAAACCAATATGAATAAAGTCTTGTGAATTTTTTTTGCTTTGTATAATGTTAAACTTTGCTTTAATAATTTTTTACAATCTACATATATTAGTCAAAGCGTGTGTTTGTTTTCATGTCTGTGTATATTTATATAACACTGAATTAATTATTAATCAAACAGGGAAAACGTCGTTGGAGAGAGCCCTACAGTACAATAAGATTGGTACCGTTATGTTCCTGTTACAAACTGATTGTCTTAGGAGTTCAGGCTTCATGGAATCGGAAAAGATCCAAGAGTTGTGCAAAATGTTTCCACCTCTTACATTATTTCTAGAACATGAGTTTCACCAACCATGGAGTTTGTTAAGACTGTGTAGATTTAACATCAGAAACGCAATTGAGCCCCAAGCGCTGAAGAATATACCAAATAAACTGTTATTACCACGGACACTCCTGCAATATGTGACCTTCAGTGACTTAATATAACACCATGACTTTATTGTGCAATAATTCTTCCTTCTTTAACAACTTGCTCAAGAAAAAAAATAAATCAAATGAATTTTGTGTCATTAGAGAGAGAAAAAAAATATTTAAAGGATATAAGATATGAACTGCATAGGAGAAATAGGGCACAGTTTTATCTTTAATGCAAAAAATAATAGAATATGGTGTTCAAAAATTCTCAGAAAAATGCTGATTCGGTGCACGTGTAGATTAACGATGAAATGCATTTTGTTTTGTAATTTAAAGCTTTATTATTAAAAAAAACTAAATTTTGTTGTAGATCAAATATTTTAAATTATGTCAATTAGTATCATCCTTGAATTTGAAAACACTAATAAACATTGAATCTTATGAAAGAGTCTTTCTTCCTTCACAGCTTATCCTATGTACAGTGAACATGTACATAGATTACGTTTCAAATTATATCAGGTATCTCTATCTAACGTTATATGTTCAGCATTGTAGTTTATCATTTTATATTTAAATTGATTTAATTAAAATGATTTAAAATAGTCTAGATCTGAATTGTGAATAAAAAAAAGTTAAAGTTTAGCTGACTCTTTTGATCCTTTGGAAGTTTTTAAGTACGTGTAAATGTAGTGGAAAATTCAGAAAATCTTATAGAAAAGGATAAACAAAAGTTGTCAACCCTAGTGTCCTTAGTTTTTTTGAATTTTGAGAAATTTAAATTAATGTAACCTTTCTAATTTCCTATTGAAGTAAAGGTTTTTATGTCTTTTAATATTGCCTATAGTGATTGTACCTAGATATCAACCAAAAGCCCTTAAAATAAGAGGGGTATCGTTATACCAAAATCTGTTGTCCTGCGTAAAATTAACAAGCTTTCTTAAAAGATCTAAAACCCTAGTTGGGGTGGGGTGTTAAGGGTTAAAACTAAAATTTACAATGCGAATACCTGTTGAACTTAACATTCTAGGTAACAAGTACGTCTTTTATTGTTTTATATATAAAATAAAAAGAAAATCAAAAAATCCCCGATGTTTGTTGTAAAAAAAAAAAAAGTACATTGAATAAACTGTACAATGTAAGTTTTAACAAAAAACAAATATCAGGAATTTTTTATGTTTTTTTTTAATTTTTATAGTCAGACAAACACAACATTGAATACACCATCCTGGACCCCCCCCCCCCCAAGTTCCTCGCTAGAAAAATAGATCATTGCCATGGACAACTTGCTTTTCTTTATTTCTGTATTCAGGAGGATAATAAAGGTAAAACAGCATTCCATATCTCCTGTGAACACACCAGATCTACCCGGGTAAAAACGTGTCGTCTGCTGATCTCTCGAGGAGCAGATGTTAATCACAAGGATCGAGCAGGTTTGACCAACTTTTTTCCGGAAAGAAAGGGGGCGCACTAATTGATTTTTCCAAACATCTCCTGAAAATGGTTCCTATGGAAATTAATTTTTTTTTAATGAAATAATTTCAGGGAAAACGCCATTAGATCTCGCTATGCAGCACAATAAACTTGATACTATGATGTTTTTGTTGCAAGTGGACTGTTGGAGGAATCCAGAATTCATGCTTGACATTAAGATTCAGGAAATATGTAAGGCCTATCCTCAAGTGAATATGTTTCTAGAACATGAGTTTCAACAGCCATGGAGTTTACTGAGGCTGTGTAGATTTACTATCAGAAACTCCATTACACCGACAAAGTTAAGGGATGTGTCACGTATCCCACATCTTCCCCAGACACTTCTGAAGTATTTAACTTTCGCCGATACAGATTTCGCCTAGATTTGATTTTTAGTAAATCTTATTATATGCATATATGTACATGTATTGTGTTTTGTGCATCTTTCCTTCTTTACAAATGTATACATATACACACAAAGTTGCAGTGTGTAAATTGGATATACTATATAGAATATCGATATCACGCATGAATGTTCCTCGTAAATTTGGTTATTTTATAGTTTTTTCCAATGTTTTTAATCAGCATTCATGCTCTCCATAATACTGTGTACAACTGTGGTATGTAATACATACATGTATATATATAATAATGTATATATAATAATCTTCATTCGTATGGAATTAAAAGTATTCGTTTTCCTGTGAGATGATGGATTTTATGTAATAATTCAGCATAAGACTCGACTTCCTTTTGTAATTTTATTGTTTTGTGGTAGTATTAATGAATGGATCATCTAATCTCTTAAGAAATAATGTAGAAAGAATTTGTTGGTCTAACAAATGCATTCTCCTTATATTTACGAACGAAGGAAATAACCAACTCTTGAATTAAATGTCTTATTTGAAAGTTAAACTATATATATATTCAATTTGCAAAGGTATTATCTTATACATCATGTGCATGCATGTATTTCAAAAAGTATACAGATTGGTCATTGATAAAGTTAATGTACAAGAGCTTTTGAAAGAAGTTTGAAAGAGGGATACTGGAATCAACTTTTCTGACCATCTGTCTTGTCTATCATTCAGCTGTTTGTCCGTCCGTAGACATTTTTTTCCCCGGAAATTGTCTCTGAAACTTTTTTTTTAACTTTGTAGAATTAATGTATACCTTTTGAACTTGTGTACCTGACCAATTCTGATTAATTCTTAAACGTTATGTAAGATTTCAGTGTACACTTAGTCTAGACAAAATTGCTAATGCACCTCTGCAAATACGACATCTGCCTCATCAACACGAATAAATCTAAACTGCCGTCTTGTCTACTGCAGTCGAATTTGCCGATGTCTTTATTTCAACACAGCACCCTCAAATATAGCCCTCTTGCGAGCAAACTAATTTCCCAAGCCGGTCTTTTATGCGATGATTTAAGGTTGGAGGTTACCGATGTTGGTCAGCGAGATTGCAACAGCGATGGTGAGTGGTGACCATGTCTGTCAAATGATATCAAGCAAAATGTCTAACATGTCACCTAGGAGTCACTTAGTTCTTTGGCATCCGTATCCGGTCCATCACACTTCCGGTTACCACAATTTTACTGTACAATTTTGCAACAGTCATGTGGAGTCTATTAAATATCAAGTTTACCCACAGAAGACATTTTTACATTCCATAAAATAGTCAAAGAACTTTTCAGCCAATAGAAACAACAGTTTTTGAAATGTTTTAAACAAACAACTTCAGAGGAACACATCACGGACACCATGTACATGTGTACCTACTGCTCTCCCACGCTTTTCACAGGTCAAACGTACGCTGCGTATCCACTAACTTTTTTTCTGAGTTTTTAATGAATGCAAACATAAAGAACACGATTTCTAAGAAGAACATGAAAATTTATTCCCCTAAAACGTATATGAGCACGATTTTCCTGCATTTCTATGAAATGATTTACGCTTCATTTATAATAATGTATTTATTTACCAATTTAGCCATTAAAACATCGTACTTTTAATCATAGTGACATATTTATATATCAGATACTTTTGAAAAGGTTAAAATTTATTTTCATGGTGGTGTGTTAGCAATTCTGTCTGGTGTACATATATCTTCTCTGAAGGGAATAAGAGGAGTGAACATGGTGAAGCTCTTATCAGATAGACATACATTAACTTTGAAATCAAAAACCTTAGGAGACTCATGCTGGATAGATAGGAAACTTGAGACCAGGGCTGCGTCTTACTCTGTATAAAGAGTACATAAATATCAAATTATTGTTTTAGCCACAACTTTGAAAGGGAAAAACGATAAATATTATACTTGAGACAAAGACTGGTTGTGACAAGAATATCTCTTGACCCTATTCCATATGGGTAATTCGACAAGGTCACAGCTTTTAGAATTCTTTTTTTCAGTTTTGCTTTAGTCATAACTTTGAAGTGAAAGAAAACATTAGATTTTATTAACAATTTAGGTTTATTATCACCTATCATAATTTTGAATTTTCCCGGCGGCAGTAATTTTGTATTAACTGCCACAAGGTATATTCAAAATTTACAATATCACAATAGGATGTGAAGCAATCCTATATAAAGTTGATAATAATGTAGAGTAGTTCTTATAATTCTCTAATTTGTTTGAAAGATGTTTTAATTTTGACTGTGTATTCCGGAAAATTATATCTTTATCAATTCGAAACTTAGTTTTATGGAACTCTCCAGTGCCAGGAAACAACAAATGGCCGCAGTTGATAGTTTCGACTTTTTGCTGAGAGAAATCGCAAAATTATGTTCTTACTACAGAGATGCATTGGCGTTGCTTGGTGCATTGTATGCATCGAGACAAGCATTAAGAGTCGTTTATTGCATACTGAAATCTGGGAATGATCACGTGTTAACCAAACTCTCAAGCCTTGTTGACTTACGAAGAAACTTTGGCAAATGGGCAGGTGCGCACTACTCAAAATAATCTTCTTCTTATTCGTAATAATATAGGTCTATTCACTTCACATTTCCATATAGAAAAAGACAATTTTCAACACTTTTTGCTAATTGTTTTTGAAATTAGAATCTGACGAATTCCAATTCCTAGAGAAGGGTAAGTGACGCAATCGTCTTAAATAAGTTTTGTAAACATGGTAAACAGGTCCAGCACAATCTCTTGATTTAGCTATATAGCTTGAATTAGCTATAAAGCTTTATTAAGGTATTCAGAATAGCTTGATAAAGCTATTTCAATACAGTTTTTCGCAAATTTTTTTTTTTAAAAGAAGTACATGTAACTAAGTAGTTCGAAATATCTGACGTTTTCCTGGCTAATTTTACGATTTGATATTTTATGTGCCAGGAAAACGTCAGAACTGGTGCCATTATGAAAACTGGAAATTTCACTATCTGCAACCTGAGTTGATTTTCGATACTTGCGAACCAAATTAAATGCCGAACTCACAATTTATCAATAGCACAATGCTTCTAGTACTCACCAACATCGATGAAAAGAAAACATCATTCCACATTTCGATACAGGAATTGCAAGATTTTAAAATGCACGAAATGAAAAGAAATGTCGACTGTCAGATAAAATGTTTTCACCGGATTGTATATTTTATAAATAAGCCATAAAAACGATGTTGGCAAGTACTAAAAGTATTGTACTATTGATAAGTTGTGAGTTTGACATTTAATTCAGTTCGCAAGTTTCGAAAATCAACCCGAGAATGCCGCCTCCGGTTGGAGGGGGCGAATTCCCAGTTTTCGTAATGGCGCCAGTTCTGACGTTTTCCTGGCACATAAAATATCAAATCGTAAAATAAGCCAGAAAAACGTCAGATATGTCGGACTAGTAACTAAGCAACACCAACAAATCTTACATGAATGCAGTGTAATGAATTAGATTTTGTATTTCCACTCGGTAGCATTGCCATGCTGTGAAGTTGATCTGCGCAGACTAGTCCATTAATTTTCATCATTTCACAGCATCGAGTAGAAAAAAATTGTTTTTGAGTTTTAGTGGTGTAATGATATTGATTGAACTTTTTTTCAGGAGAGGAATGTTAAGTGTTACAGTGGCTGCAACGTTATTGTTGACAACTTACACGAAGGATAACATTACACGAATGATTCCGCATGATTAAGGCACGATAAAATCTGTTACACGAACGATCCTTCATGCACACGATTCTACAAGTTACACGATTTAACACGATTGATAACGCAAATGCACGATTCTTCACGCAAACTAGTTCAAATTCTTTAGGAATGGATATTTTCAAAACAAAATAAGGCTTAATACTTATTTTAGATTTCAAATAATTATTGATATTATTTCATCGACTTTGAAAAATGAAAAAAAAAATGGAAATGGATATTTCTAGAACTAAATACATGGAAGACTTATTAATTATTTTAGATTACAAATAATTATTTGCATAATTTTCAGACTTAAGAAAACTGATTTTTTTTTTCATTCAATCAGAAGATGTACATGTAGGTGGACCGTGCATTTTGATTGAATTGGATTTCTTAATATGCAGAAAGGCATAAGTTTGAAAAAAAAAATGGCATGAAAATGAACTAAATTATATGTTATATCCATGTTTTCATTTGTAAATCTCTAAAATCAACAATTATTTTACAAATCATTTATTTGCAGAAATTATAAAAATAATTAAAAGTAAGCTCCAGAGATAAACACTGATAAACGAAACCCTGACAATCATATCATGTACATGTACATTCACCGACTAAATATTTATGTAAGCATTGAGAATTGTTTATTTATTTATTTGTAAAAATATCTATTTTTGATCTATTGATTTTAAAAATATCTTGACCATAATAAGCAGTAAACATAATTAACATCAGAGAAAAAAATCCTTAAACATCTAATTACGGTTTATCACAAAAACTCACGAGAACACAATATTTTGTGCGACTTACTATATTGCTTATTTCCAAGCAATAATTAGTTCATTCTGCTTTCAATTATGTAAATCGCGCTTTATTTATTTTATTTGGATTGAAAAAAAAAACAGAGAAGCGAAATGCTTGTATAACAAATAATATTTCGATAAAAACTTATAAAACGAAATTTACACGTTTCTTAACGCACGATCACGCACAATTAAAACCGCAAATGATTGATTCTGATACATGCACAATCTCACACGTTACATGAACGGTCAAGCACATTACACGAACGATTCTACACGATTGGTTTGTCAACAATAATGTTGCAGCCACTGTACATGTATCATAAGAAAAGATTTTTTTCTTAATTTATGAAATGACTGAGAATAATTAATATAGACAATCAAATAACCATAGAATTTATCATACTGGAGATGAAAAAAAAAAGGCTAATTTTTATAATTTATTGCTTGAAGTTGTTACTGGAAGCAGTGAAGGTATTGGAAAAGCTTATGCTAGGGAACTTGCAAAACGTGGCGTAAATGTCGTACTGATCAGCAGGGGAGAGAACCGCTTGTTTAGGACAGCTAAAGAAATTGGTGTGTGTATTCTACTTCTTAAAATAGTTAATGCCTTGTATTCATGGTATTGGATGCTGACAAATAATGGAACATTCAAGATGTGATGCATTTATTTAAATGTATTAATGTGCATGTGATACAAATCAATTTCATTTTATTTAAAGTTCCTTTCATCTTATCTAGACTGAATATTTAAACTCTACTCTTTATTATATTTTCTCTGATTTCCTTTTCAGAAAATGATTTCAAGGTTGAGACTTGCACGATTGCTGTTGATTTTAACATAGGAAAAGATGCTTATCCAATTATATGGGATAAGATTAAAGACAAAGAAATTGGTATTTTAGGTTTGTGCACATGTACACACAACACTTTTCTTGTTTAAGTAAAATTATGTCACATTTTACTTCATAAACTTCGTAGTGAATGTACTCTTGAATGATATAAGCAGATTGATTCAAAATATTTGTGCATTTGTTTCTTTTAAAATATATATTTATTTATTTTAAATTAGTGAACAATGTAGGAGTGATGTATGACTACCCTCAGTATTTCTTAGACGTCCCAGAGGAGAGACTTTGGCAGCTCATCAATGTCAATGTAGCAGCAGCAACAATGGTCTGTTGAACTGAAACTACAAGACAATACTAATCACATGTTTACTGTATAAACAAGATTCTTCTGTTGAGAGATATCTTGTCTACTTTATATAAAAAAAACAAGTTTGAAGTGTTTCCAATATCATAACTCCTTGTATTACATGAACATGTAGTTTATAATTATTCTCTTAATTTTTCAGATGACACATATGATAATGCCTCAAATGGTTGAAAGGTAATGCAACAAAATGAAATATTATTTCTTTTATTGATGTAAAGGTTACTTAAAATCAGAAATAAATGTATATTGTATATTTGTTTCTCGCTGCAGAGGAAAGGGGGCTGTAGTCATGGTGTCCTCCGGCGCTTGTTCACAGATAACTCCTCAGATGACAGTTTATGCTGCTACAAAGGTACAGAATAATAAAAGCTGGAGCACTCAGAGGTGTGCGTGTAATAATCCCACATAAATACCCATCAAATGATTGTAACATTGACTATTGTATCACAAATATTTTGACTGGTTACAACCATATTGTTACTAAGTCTGTGATTTTTATCTTTGTAAATTTTTATTGTATTTCAGAGTTTTCTAGACTACTTTGCCAGGGCACTTAATTATGAATACAGGAAGAAAGGAATAATTGTTCAGTCTCTAATGCCTTTTTATGTTGCTACCAGAATGACCCGCTTTAGTCAGACCCTATCTAAACCTAGTCTACTGATCCCCTCTGCTGAACAATATGCCCAAAATGCTGTGGCCACCCTGGGCTACACAAGTCGTACTTCTGGATACTGGCCACACACAGTGCAGGTAAATGAACAACTTTATAAAGAATACCTAGCATTCAACCAAGCATACCTCATAGAGTTTGATAGGCTTTTTTTTATTTAATTATTTCTTTATAAAGACCAGCTCACTGTCTGAACTGAAACCTGTTTTTAGCTCACCTCAACGAAGTTGGGGGAGCTTATGTAATACCCTCGGCGTCGGCGTCCCAGGTTAAGGTTTTTGGAGCTGTTTTCTTTTCAAGTACTTCTATGGCCTATATTAGTCAGAGATGCATGGAGGATGCTTCTAGTGTGTTTCATTGTACCAGTCAAGGTTTCAGATGCTGCAATTTCAGCTAAAGAATGACCAGGTTAATGTTTTTGGAGCAGGTTAAAGTTTTTGGAGCGGGTTAAAGTTTTTGGAGCAGGTCTCATTTCCAAGTAACTATATGCCCTATATTGACCAAACTTGCATGGATGATACATCTAAGGATGCACACTACTGGACTTGCTTCGGATGCTGGATCTGACCTATATTTTCCTGATGAGTGACCAGGTTAAGGTTTTTGGAGCAGATGTCATTTCCAAGTAACTAAAAGCCCTATATTGACCAAACTTGCATGGATGATACATCTAAGGATGCACACTACTGGACTTGCTTCGGATGCTGAATCTGACCTATATTTTCCGGATGAGTGACCAGGTTAAAGTTTTTGGAGCAGATGTCATTTCCAAGTATCTATAAACCCTATATTGACCAAACTTGCATGGATGATACATCTAAGGATGTACACTACTGGACTTGCTTCGGATGCTGGATCTGACCTACATTTTCCGGATGAGTGACCAGATTAAAGTTTTTGGAGCAGATGTCATTTCCAAGTAACTATAAACCCTATATTGACCAAACTTGCATGGATGATACATCTAAGGATTCACACTACTGGACTTGCTTCGGATGCTGGATCTGACCTACATTTTCCGGATGAGTAACCAGATTAAAGTTTTTGGAGCAGATCTCATTTCCAAGTAACTATAAGGCCTATCTGAACCAAACTTGCATGGATGATGCATCAAGGGACGAACAATCTCAAACTTGCTTCAGATGCTGGATTTGACTTACATTTTCTGGATGAGTGACTAGTTTAAAGTTTTCAGATAAGTCTTTTCCCAAGTAACTGCAAGCCCTTTCAGACCAAATTTGCACAAATGTTGCATCTAGGGATGCACACTCCTAGATTATTAGTTTAGTGTGTGACTTTGCCTTACTTAAAGACAACATTCTTTGAGATGAGCTCTGTAATCTCTGATTACCTGTGTTTCTGATTTACATAAGGCTTGGTTTGCTAACTGGATTCCCGAGTGGTTGTGGATGTGGGGAGCCACTGGACTTAATAATGCTCTACGAAGGCAAGCAGAACAAAAGTGGATAAAGAAGACACTGGTCAGATCAGACTCTAGTGAGTTAGACTTGTCCAAATACTCATAAAAACTTAACTTATCGAAGGAGATAGTTCTCTCTGTGATGTGGAGTTTTCCTAGTCTGATTGAGGTTGTAAATCACCGTATTAGCTTCAGTTCAGTTTGAATGCTATAGAAAATGATGTCTAAATGTATGTGACAGTTCAAGTGCTATTTTGTGTTCCATGTTGTAGAAGAAGTACTGTACTATATTTCCAGAGCAAATGCATAATGTGTCTAGTGTCAGTGGCAGCTTACCTCCTCCCTTGTATGGGATTGTGTAAATACTTAAGAAAGAATAATATGGCTAGTTACAGAAAAAAATAACAGCCCTTCCCATTTCTATAGATTTCCAACTGTTATATACAAATCTGCCTTTTTTATTTCAGTTTTAAAAGTTCAATTTTTTTTTATCAATTTTGTTTGCTTCACCCTATTTCAAATTTCTGAATCTGCCACTGTATGCATCAGGTTTAAAATGATAAAATACTTATAAAATCATGTGTTGCAATCCAATTGTTTTTCACTGTTGATAATGAAGATTTTTTTATGATAATAAAAAAAATAAAAACGTAATACATGTATATGGTTTATTTTTTATCACTTGAGTGCATTTTCAATCACAGAGGTGATTTCCCCTTTTGTCAGTAATTTGAGCTATTTTAGGAATGACTCTAATTCTTGGCCAAATTATTCGAGGATAACCTGGTTTGGGTCAGTTTACGCTTTATAATCCGCGAAGCGGATTATAAAACAACGTAAACTGACCCAAACCAGGTTATCCTCGAATAATTTGGCCAAGAATTAGAGTCATTCCTTATAATTTAATTCTAAAATCATTAAACAACTCTGGGTGTAAAATTTCGTTGCTTTTTATTAGTTCAAATTTGCCGCTCAATAATACAACCCTAGTAACGGAAGTGATGGGAAGCAAGGGGAGGTAAAAACTGATACATAGTCCTAGCAGCCATGTTTTTTGTTTACATGTGGTAAGATCCGAGTTACTGTTTGAAGTTAAAGGTACATTTATTAAATCTGGAATTTTCCATGAATCCCGAGGACTGGAAATGAGAGGATTGCATGGATACAGACGATTCAGCTGGTTGTCAGGGGGGTGTGTCCCCATACCAAACCAGGTTATACAGAAATAATTTGTGTTCCTTTTTGGATATTAACCAATCAGAGGCTAGAATACAAACAAAATTAAATTATATGTCCATAATCTCATCTTAGGAATACACTGGCTTAAGTTTGCTTTGAGGTGATCTTTTTTTAGATAATATATATAATAAGCTCACCTAAGCCAAAGGCTCATGATCAAAATTTGATTGTCATTGTTGTCATCATCATCGTTGTAAACTTTTCACAATTTCATCTTCTTCTTCAGGACCACTGTACCAGTTTCAACCAAACTTGGCACAGAGCATCCTTTGGTAAAGGGGATTCAAATTTGTTAAAATGAAAGGCTATGCTTTTTTCAAAGGGAGATAGTTAAGAAAGAGTGAAAATTTAATTGCATCTTTTATAAAATCTTTTTCTCAAAAACCACTTGGCCCAAAAAGAGGAACTTTTGTGAAAGCTTAGTGTAGAGTCAAGTTTGCACAAATCATGACCCCAGAGGTAGGATGGGGCCACAGTTGGCCATTAAAGTTTTGCATAAGAATACTTATGAAAAATATTCTCAAGAACAACAAAGCCAAGGTTAATCATATTTACATGGAAGCATCCTCAGGTAGTGTAGATTTACATTTGTTCACATTATGATCCCAGGGACAGGGTGGGCGACAATTGGTGATCAAATTATACATGGGAATTATTTAAGAACTAGAAATATGTCCATAGGACATGAATGCCCCGCTGAGGGTATATTAGTAATGCAACATGAAAATTTGTATTAGTGTATGAAATTTGATGAGAATATCTTGAATAGTTTCTTTAAAAGGTCAAGGTCAAAAAATGTTGATGCAGTTGAAAAGGTTACATCAGTATGTATTAGCATATGAAGTTTGATAAAAATATTATGAATGGTTTCTTTAAAACTGAGTTAAACACAAATTGAGAAAAGTGAGGTCAAGTCAAAGGAAAGGTCAATGTAAAAAAAAATATTGATGCAGTTGAATAGCTTACATCAGTATGAATCAACTTATCAAGTTTAATTACACTATCTTGAAGGGTATCTTTAAAACTGAGCTAAACACTAATTTAAGAAAAGTTAGGTCAAAGGAAAGGTCAAGGTCAAAAATGTTGATGCAGTTGAATAGCTTACATTAGTATGTATCAACATATGTAGTTTGATTACACTACCTTGAATGGTATCTTAAAAACTGAGCTAAACACTAATTTAAGAAAAGTGAGGTCAAGGTCAAAGGAAAGGTCAAGGTCTAAAAATGTTGAGGCAGTTGCATAGCTCTCATCAATATCTATCTGCATATGAAGTTAGATAAAAATATCTTAGATAGTTTCTTTGAAACTGAGCTTTGAACAGAGCTAAACACAAAGTGCCACAGAAAGAGAGACAGAAGGATGGACGGAAAACGGACATGTCAAACACTATATGCCCCTGTCATATTCATGAAAGGGCATAAAAATCTGAAGAAGAGCAGCAAATACATGATTAGTCATATTTATGGAAGCATCCTCAGGTAGTGTAAAGCAATTTTGTTCAAATCATTACCTCTGAGGGTAGAGTGGGGCAACGGTGGGCCATCATAGTTTTACATAAGGGTATTATTTATATGGAAACATTGGAGTCCTCGGGTTGTGTAGATTCAAGTTTGTTCAAATTGAAACCCCCAGGGATAGGGTGGGGCCACAGTGAGCTATCAAATTACACATACTTAAGAAAAATCTTCTCAAAAACAGCAAAGACATGATTTGTCATATTTATATGGAAGCATCCTCAGTAGTGTAGATTTAAGTTTGTTCAAATTATGACCCCCAGGGTAGGGTAGGGCCACAATCGAAAATCAGAACATAGGAAAAACTTCTCAAGAACAGAAAAGCCATAAATAGTCACATCTTCAGGTAGCAGAAGTTTATTCAAATCTTAACTTCAAGGGTAGGGTGGAGCCACAATAGGCAATCAAAGTTTTACATAATTATAAGAATATGGGGAGGGGGATCTGATGAAAAGCAGCAGGGCCATAGTGACTCAGATGAGCATTGTGGCCTGTGGACTCTTTTTCTTTATTTTCATTTGTATATTGAAGTGAAAAATGACACCAAGACTCTCCATGTCCAACTACCAAGCTAGCAATTTTTCAGCCATATTACCCAAATGCTTCCCTCTGTCTCAAGATGTATGTGAGTAACTTCAATTATATTTTTTCACTTCATCTGTCACATTGTTTTCACCTGCATAATTATAAGTTATTCCCAAAAAATTAGCACATTTGTTTTGGTGCATTTTATTGATTCTGTTGTCTTACATGTAAATGTTGTCTTTAAAAGGTTAGATATTTACTTAGCATATTATATAGAACATTTACATGTACATCAATTTGAAGGGATCCTAGGAATATCAATTCCACTCATCAAACATCTTGATATTAGTCCTGAATGACACCTCTGAACAAGAGGTTGATCAAATTTGGAGCTTAACTTGGATGGGTAATATATGGAGGTTAATCTGTCTCAGTCTGTAATATAGTAAATAGCTCTGCAATTGCATGCAGAATTAAAGGGAAACAACTTGAAAACTCAAAAAAAGTTGTTTTTTTTATTTTAAAATCTTTTAATTCAATTCACATGCCATTTTCAATGACATAAAAAGATAATAACAAATTTTAGTATAAAAAATAAAGTGACAAAAAATATAAGTTATCAGCAGTGTTGTATCACAGATACCATATAATATACATTTTAGCAATATACAAGACGAATCTGCCTTGACGGTCACCAAAGTATCATACACTAATTTTTTTCTTCATTACTTTCTATCAACCTAATATACACAAAGCTATCTTCATGTCATATACTTAGAAGATTCTCAATCAATCTCTCTCTTTTTTAACAAGTTAAAATTTGGCCTGAACTTTTTTGAATTCTTTTTTAACAATTTAAATGTCGTCGATCTTTTCAAAGACCTTAGGTCATGTTTTATAGCAGCACACCATCCAATGGATTTACAATTACAAAAGAACTTGCTGCTTATTACATTAAACACTGACTGCCTGCAAGTAAAAAAGATCAGTCAAATTAAAATGCTCTTTATATACATGTAGATCAAAATAGCCAATCTAAGTGCATGAACCCAGAAAGCCTGAATTTTGTTTTCACTGCCAAGTATGATATTTGCCAGCTAAATTCTACGGATTATAGCTTTTTTCAAGTACAGTCAAACCCATCTTCGCTAGCCAAGGGTTTCTGATACGCTACTCTCCTCATAAACCCTTGGCATACGGTGCTGACAAAAGACGGGATTGTTTTCGTCACGTGATCACGATAGGTACGCACAGATTGCGTCAAAGACAGAAATAAAAAGTGTATTTAAAAAAAATGTTTTTAAAGAATAATTAACAAGAAGGTATTGAGTTATGTTAATTTGTTATTTAAACATGTTAAAATGTAAATCTACATCTTCAGTATAGATTCTTAATCACATATTTTGCACGTAGCTTAAGATATTGGATGACACCATATAGCTATTCATAGAATGGCATGTTATCTTACGGATCGTTGTTTACTTGCGTTTTTCATTTCCGATATTAAAGAGTCAAGATATATCCAGAACGCAAATATCATCATTTACAAAAAAACAATTGCTGATTGGTCAAACGATGTCGATCAACTCCAATTACAACTTCAGAAAAAAATCCCAACTTTTTTTAACACCGTATGCCAAGGGCTTATGAGGAGAGTAGCGTATCAGAAACCCTTGGCTAGCGAAGATGAGTCAAACCTTATTATCTCAAACTCCATGGGACCAATTCAAGATATCCAAGGTAAAATTGGTAGAAATAAGTGGTTAGGACTTCCAAATCACTTTGACATATCCATGGTATTTGAGATACATGTACCAGTGTTTGAGATACCGAAGTTCAACTGTATATATTAATTGAGATTCTTGTTCCCACCCCCAGAGTGATGCAACAATGAAATTCACCATTTCTGTTCCTCTGTACCTAAAAGTACTATGTAACAAAAATTAGTTTAATTTGATTCAGCAGTTCAACAAAATCTGCTAATATATCATTAAAAGGTTTCTAAATGACAGGCAACCATAACACATTGATGGACATAGCAGATGGGAAACAGATAGCAATAGGTCATCTGATATTGATGACCTAATAATAACTGAGATGAATTTTCTCTTCTAGATAACATAATCAGTGTTCAATTACATATCAAAGATACAAAATACATTTCATATATTTATAATTATTGGCTTATTATGGATAAATTTTCTGAGACTTGTACAAACATATTATACTTCAGTATTTTTCATTAAATTTATAATTATTGGCTTATTATGGTTAAATTTTCTGAGACTTGTACAAACATATTATACTTCAGTATTTTTCATTAAAGAAAAAATATAAAACAAACATAACCCTGTACCTAGACAATGGTCTAAACTGACATTCAAAATGAGAACACAAGTGTAATTCACAACCTTGTTTAAAAATATACTGGGGAAAATAAAAATATCAATCAAGGCACAAATTCAATAATACTAGTCTTCTAATTTGGCTCACAAGACTTGGATGGAAAAACAAAAAACTTTTTAACAAACATGTATATGTTCACAGAGTCATTTGTAAATGGGCAAATAGGTAATACTGTCTAAATATTAAATATAAAGAGAGCTTCATTTTACAGTGTATGTGCAATGATAAAATAAAACTCAATACAGGATAGCTAATAAATACATGGCAAGACTACATTATCTTTAAAATCAACTACAACTACAGTTACAAAGTAAATACACTACCTATGTTCTCAGGCAAACAAACGATCAAACTGTACAGTTTTCATCATAAACACTTTACTGCACTGAAACATATAATCTAATTCTCAAAAGGAATACTTTCTACTCAATTTCTTATATTTTGCCAAACCTTAATTGGTAATCTCCAATTTACATTTTATCAAGTCAGCTGCAGTTTTTCCAGGCAGAACAAGAAAAATGTTCATACAGAACTTTTAATAAAAGAAATATAGCTTTTTGTGATATTATTCCAACAAAATATCAAAAAAGTGGGACTAAAGGGAGAGATTCTGTTAGTATATAGTACAAAACATAGGATAAACTGTCTACTTCAGTGATGAATAATGTACAGAATGACAACTAAATCTCAAACTGTAGCAAACATACACACAAAATGAAGTTGTATACATAAATTACATTATTTTCTTGCATACATATGTTTATAAACCTAGTAACAAGCTGTCCAGCAACAACATGCACTCATCAATACATGAACAAAGTGTTTCTTGAAATGACCATTCAAAAAGAAAAAGGTTTTCACATTCATAAATAACTCAAAAATTTCATCTTACTCATTTTATATGTGAAAAAACAAAAAAACCAACACATTATATACTATTATTCCAGAAAAATGAGAATATAAATAATAATAGAGGTGATTTTGTAAAGTCCCACAGTTCCTCAAAGAGTTTGGTTGTTCATTAAGTAACCCACAGCAACAGAGGTCCGTCTATTTATAGCTGGGAGTATACCACTGACTCTATCAAATGTTTCAGCAGTCAGATGGGAGGAGGACGGCATGATGGTGGGGGTCAGGGGAAGTGGGGAGGCTGAGGGAGTCAGTGACGTCCCCAAACTGGAGGGATATCTAGGTCGCAGAGGGTGGTACGGAATGGTTTTTACCTTTTTAGATATGGCTCTGACTAGATCTCTTGAGTGCTTCAGATTGTATGCTACAAAGTTAAGTCATTTTTTTTTTTATATGTACGTGTACTTGCAATAACTACAAAGTGTGAAACTTAAGTGTTTGATGACTATATTGAAATGAATTTGTAGAATTTTTTACCTTTTAGTCTTGCTTTGATTTCATCATCAAAATATCCACATTCAATCCATTCATCATAATCTATTATGTAATCAAAGGCAGTCTGACCTAAAATAGAAGTGAGCTGTCTTGTAAATAACTCAAATTGAACATTCATTGTGATCTGTCCAAAACAAGAGTACCTCCTTTCGAAAATACGTATATACTGTGCTCATGGCAAGCAACAAATTGCAACAACTACACATCTATTAAGTTCTCATATAACTAACATACATGTAGTTAAAAAGAATTAAGAATTCACTTAGTAAAGCTATTTTAATAAGACTAGTGTGATTTGAAAATAAAAGCATGAATAGTTATTTATAAACATACATGTATGTCAGGGAATGCAATGTATGGATGTTACTGTGATTCTGAACTTCATTTTGGTACTTTGTAAACAACTTAATATTAAATTTAGGGTATACTCTTTAACATAATATCTTCAAAATAATGTGTGGCAGTCAGATAGGTTTGATTGTTGGTGGCCAGATAGCTCAGATGGTAGAGCACCTGTCAAGCATTTAGGAGACAAGGGTTCAACTAGTACTTCAAATCCTGATCTGGTCTGTGACATTTTCTCCTTTCCATTACACATATGACATTGATTGAGGGACAAGAGTGTAATAATTATATCAAAAGTATGATTACCCATATTATTTTTATGCCTGTAGTTAGTTTTGCGGTCTATGAGAGTAGAAGCAGCAAACTGGTTATTGGACTTGGTGGCAAAAAACAATGGTGTCTCCCCCTCATCATTAATGGAATCCACTGAGGCATCATACTTCAGTAGTAACTCTAAAATGTCTGCCTCTCCACTCAAACTGGCAGCATAGTGAAGAGCTCTAAAACAACAGTGTGCTCATTGTAAAGAGACTGTATAAAGTATGTGTAGTTTTTAACTTTTTTTAACAGAAAATGGTAAATATGCCAATTAGCTTTTACCTGATTTAGAATGATTGTGCAGATAATAAAAATGTAAATAAATTTCCTTACGAGTTGTTTCCTGGATAGTATCTGGGGTTTACATCTGCTCCATTGTCCAACAAAAACTTCACTGCATCCTGACTGTCTTTTCTACAAAAAAAAAATCATGCACATGTGTACTAAAAAATGTTTACAAGAACATAGTGCTTATAAATGCAACACTCACTAAAGCATGAAAAAAGCAATCTGATGATTAGACTATTTGTATTTTTTTTTTCTGAATGGACACTTCAATACTTAAAACGTAACTCAGTGTCTTGTTCTTAAATGGTGTATACATCAGTCCTGTAGTGGGGACAGACAAGAAATATAACCAATATACATCAGTCCTATTGGCCAGACATAACCCATATACATTTAATCCATCATATATCTATATGTCTTCAACAGTCATATTAATTCATATGTGAACCAGTCTCATACAGAACACAATTTAAATGGCAGGATGCTACTTTTATTTAATATACCAAACGAATGTAGAACAAACACACTATAAACATGGAAATTTTATGTGTGGGGGTAATATATGCTAAATAGGTTATAAGAATGCTTTCATGTAAATATCCAACCACATAACTCCGTTTTAACAATCTTATCCCAGAATCAAGGAACTATAACCCCCAAGTGTAATTTCTTGCTTCAACAACACACATAAATATCAACAATTAGAGTATAATATGTCTACAATGTAACAGTAGTTGTAAACCACCTACAGTATGATTTGTTCTGTCAGAATTCTTCTCATCAGTATGTCCTGTTCCTTCTCCTTGAAGTAAAACCCATTTGCCAAAAGCCTAAAAGGAATATTATAATACAAAATGGAATAAATACAGCAGCAATTAATAAATTATTATCAAATTAATTATTAGACATGCACCAGTAATTGTGATTTAACTTAGAAATAAAGATTATCTTTCAGAGGATGAGATATGTAAGGGCTAAATTCTGGCCAGGATCAATAGACCAGATTTAAAAAGTGTTGAAAAGCACAGTGATTATACTAATGATAGTTTTTAAAACAAATGGTCCATAGGCCTTTTGAAAAATATTATTTTACACTCCTTTTAATACAATGTAAAAATAAACCCCATGAGAGATTGTATAATGTTGAAAGTGCATTTAATTTTAAACTTTTAGGATTTTTTTTTTTTTAGGATTTTAAACTTTTTAGGATTCTAAACTATAAAAGTAATACATGTATTGTAATTTACATACCTGGTAATTACTTTTATAGTCTAAAATCCCTCCCTGCTCAAAAGAAATAAAGAAAAGAACAATGGTTGGTACTAAGATCTTACCACTGTGCACATTCTGTGAAGTCGTTAGCGATGGCGAGGTTAAGCAGGCTAGGAGGAGGTTTGTTGGACTCCTCTCCTGCGATGGCTTTAGCCATGAATCCATCATGGTCATATCGCATCATCATTCGCATCACATCAATACGACCCTGCATGGCACAGCAATGAATTGGTAAAAGACCCTGCAAAAAAATCATATGGTCAACAAGGGGAATTATACTGTAATCTAATTAGGATACTAAGATGTAAAAAACAAGGGGTATTTTATCATATTTTGAGCACATTCTTGGATCCTAAAGTTAAATACCATGCATCATAAATGCATTGGAAAGCATATTACATACTATAAATATTATATGCATAATATCAATTTACATATTAATATGAACTAGATATCATTGAGATGGTGGCCATCTCAAAGGGCCCCACTTTCAGCAATGAACATAAAAATGTAAGGTAGCTGAAAAGGGTTTATTTTGAAGAGGAACATTGTGTACTATTAAGAGATGTGTTGTTTGAGTCTAAAGGGCTTCTATGTCATCCTTTTTATAATAAAAAATGGCACGAAAATCACGAGTGCTCAATACCCTCTATCAAAAAACGGCACAAAAATTACGAATGTTGCACATCCTCTATCAAAATATGGAAGGAAAATCACAAATGTTTCGTACCTTAAGTTAATTGGTAAAGTTTGAGGTTGACTGGACTTAAGGGAAAGAAATTATGCACCAAACAAAAATTTTGAACAGAGAGGCTATTTTTGACCTTTACCTAGAAACTTTTTTCAAGGTCACTGCACATCCACTGACCAGTGGCACTCTGTGAGTGAAGTATGAGCCACATTGGACCAAGAGGAGAGGAGATATGCTCCGTACAAGGATTTTTCATATAATTCTGCTATGACCTTAACCTTTGACGTAGAAACATGATTCAAGATCACTGCACATCCTTTACCCAAAGGCACTCTGTGGGTGAGGTATGAGCCAGATTGGGCCAAGGAGAAAGAAAATATGCTCCAGACAAGAATTTAAACAGAGAGGCTATTTTTGACCTTGACCCTTGACCTAGAAACTTAGTTCAAGGTCACTGTACATCCATTGACCAGTGGCACTCTATGAGTGAAGTATGAGCCACAATGGACCAAGGGGAGAGGAGATATGCTCCGGACATGGATTTTTCATATAATTCTGCTATGACCTTAACCTTTGACCTAGAAACATGGTTCAATGTCACTGCACACCCTTTACCCATAGACACTCTGTGGGTGAAGTATGAGCCAGATTGGGCCAAGGAGAGAGGAGATATGCTCCGGACAAGAGATCTCGGACGGACAGACGGACGGACGGACAGACTGATCACTATAGGGCACCCACAGAGCGGGGCCCTGATTAATACAAATGTAACAAAAAATTATGAACAAGATAAAACAATAAATCGATCAATTATCACATACCCTAGAGTTCCTTTTACTGAGACTGGCATTTTTGTTCAGCAGAAGTTCTATACTAGTCATGTCTGATGGCTTGCCACTCTCTCCATAACACTTGACGTGAAGGGGGGTGTTCCCTTCTACATCCTCAGCATCAACCAGGGCCCCTGCATCTAGTAGCAGCTAAGTACAAAATATAGAAAATAACAACAGTTACTACATACAACAACTTACCATTACTTGTATTTGGATCTACTTGAGGAGGTCTAGTGAGACAAACCTCCATGATTTCTGTGTTTTTGGATCTGTGTAATGGAGTAGCTCCCTTGTAATCTCGTACATTAATGTCCATCCTCAGCCTCAGAAGTTCCCGGATGGCATTTTTATGTCCATAGTAGGCAGCAGTATGGAGCAAGGTGCTACCATTTATGCATCTTGGAAAAGAAATAATTTCAACTTTTATTTTCAGTTCAAATATTGCACACTAATGTGCTTTACTGTATTGTACAAGCACATGCTTTTGATGTAGTTGAACAGATACATGTACCAATAATAGATTCATTCCACAAACATTTCATCAATTAATATATATGAACTGACTGTTGCAAATAAAATAGTTCAAATTTGATAACAAATTCCCAACATACAGGCAAGTCAATAGTTATCCCCAGTAATCAAAATTATGGAATTTGACGAAAGTTCTTAATGTTCTGGACAGTTATTCATACCAAATACAATAAGGCCCTTTACCCCCTTCTCCTGATATTTGAACCCCGAGGCATAAATACCTGCTCCACAGACAACAGACACTGACACTATTACCTGCTCTACAGACAACAGAGGCATTATTCATTCCCTTCTCCATTAAAAAGAGGCATAATTACCTGCTCCACAGACAACAGAGGCATAATTACCTGCTACATAGACAACAGAGACATTATTACCTGCTCTGCAGACAACAGGCACATTTTTACCTGCTCCGCAGACAACAGAGGCATTATTACTGCTCCTCACACAAAAGAGGCATTATTACTGCTCTGCAACAGAGGCATTATTACTGCTCCGCAGACAACAGATGCATTATTACCTGCTCCGCAGACAACAGAGGCATAATTACCTGCTCTACTGACAACAGAGGTATAATTACCTGCTCCACAGACAACAGACACTGACATTATTACCTGCTCTACAAACAACAGAGGCAATATTACCTGCTCCACAGACAACAGAGGCATAATTACCTGCTCTACTGACAACAGAGGTATAATTACCTGCTCCACAGACAAAGATACTGACATTATTACCTGCTCTACTGACAACAGAGGCAATATTATAGCTCCACAGACAACAGAGGCATAATTACCTGCTCCCCAGACAATAGATGCATTATTACCTGCTCCACAGACAACAGAGGCATTATTACCTGCTCCGCAGACAACAGAGTTCCTTGACTCCAGTAGCATGGTCTTTAATGACACGGTCCATTAACTTCATGTCTCCACTCATAATCCTAGGAACAACAGCCGAGTAGAATTCATACAGTTCTGAAAAAAACAAAAATGACTGTACTGGTTTATTCATTCTTTGAAAGGTGCTTGTTGACAGGATTCCCTCTACCTAAGTATCAGCCCAAACATTTTTAGCTCTACTGGTCAGAGACCCAAAGACCTTATGCAATAGTGAAGTTTCTGTCATCCATCCGTCTGTAAACAATATTTCAAAATGCTACTCCACCTACAGTTTTGGTCTGATTTCATTATAACTTAGCACACAAGTAGATTACATCAAGATACATTCTGTGTACTGGTTTTTGATTTCAATGAACTGTTTTGCCCATGGCTACTAAACATAGAATTTTTTATGATATTCTTTCGAAATGCTACTCCTCCTACAGTTTTGGTATGATTTAGATATAACTTGGCACATAAGTAGACTACACTTAGATACATAATTCTGTGCACCTGTTTTCTTTTATTTTGATCAAGAGTGTTGCCATGGTTACTAAAAATAGAAATTTCTGTGAAATCTTTTCAAAATGCTTCTCCTCCTACAGTTTTGGTCTGATTTTGATATAACTTTGCATGTAAGTAGACTGCATTTAGATTAATTTACCTACCTACATTTACCTAATTTTCTTTAATATTTTTCAATTTTGATGAACAATGTTACCAAGGTTACTAAAAATAGAAATTCTGTAAAATTCTTTTAAAAGGCTACTCCTCCCACAGTTTAATCTGATTGCAATTATAAATCTTGCCACAAAAAGAGACTAAACCAATGATCATTATTCTATATAGTGCTGTTGCATAGTTTCAAGTCACTGTGAAATCAAATCTTTGTGGGGAGTTTTACAGTAAATGTGTTCTTGTACCAGAAAAACATGTTACTTTGGTTTCTGGGCTTGTTTGTATATCTACTTTCTGAGAGCTACTCACCTATCAGGTATCTCTTAAATTCATCATTTTTTACTGTCTCAAATGGTGTCAGATTTTTGGTGTTTTTAAAGTGAACATCACATCCCCATTCTATTAGATACTACAATCAAAGAAAAAATAAATGATATATATTTAAGGTAAAATGCTACCAGTTCAGGAGAATAGTGTACTTTAAATTGGTACATATATCTATTAAGAAATTAGAAATTAAAAAAAAAAGTATACATGCAGTAAAAATTGAAATGATTGGTATACATTACTTCATGACATGATATTAGAATTTATTAACATTCTTTGTACATGTACTACTCATAAGAGAAAGGCCCATGGGTCACTTTGCTCACATGAATTTGAGTTTCAATGTTGATGAACTTAATTGTTTGCAACCATTTTAATTATGATATAGAAGCTTAATTGATATTAAACATGCAATTTTTACAAATTTAAGCTTTGTTGTTCTTGGAGAAAATTATTCTTTTCTCTGTAAAACTTAAAGGGTTTTTATCACGTATCTAAATTTCTTAAAATGAAATGCTATTATATTCTTGAAACATATAATTATCGTTTAATTATGAAATAATGTTGAAAAAAGCCATAATTAGACGATAAAACTCCCGTAATATAGGGTCCTCGTAGTAAAAATCTCCACTAATTAGATAGGGGTCACGTGGTACTGAAACGTCATAGGTGTCAATGGTCAATAGAATTGGTAAAGCTTATCGTAAGAAAAAATATATTGAATAAATTTTTATGCTAAATAAATAGAAAACCCAATATGCCCGGTTGAAATTTTGACATCGACTATATTCCTTTGATTATGGATGGTCAATCTTTTATGTATGAACGTCTAGCAGAGAGAAATAATCAGAAAATATGCCGACAATTGGAGAGGTCACCGAAGACGAAGCCGTTGACAACTTGGGACTTCGACTAAATAGAACAAATTACTAGAGTTTAACTTCGTAAACATTTCTAAATATGGGAATTTATTCTCCTTCATTATTATTTTAATTAATTATATATAAATAAATCCTGTATATCTTCTATCTGTTCTAGCAGTGAATATCATGTACTAGAAATGACACTTCTTCAATGGCGCTGTACGCCATTATTGCGAAGTTCACAACATTCCTACTAGATTCTGTGCGACTTTTAAAAAACGCATGTTAGTCATTTATTATTTTTTTTAAAGGTATCTTTCCTTAACATATTTTATAGGACAGAAAAAATAATTCCTGATCGATCGGCATAAGCGACTTGCAGAAAAAGGCCCCCCTTTCATCTCTCGAACAGTCCAGGAAATGTGGGGAAAAATTCTTCCTAAAATCTTTCTTGTGCAAATTTGTGCATCCTAACGCCATAAATTATACCTTACTAGCTGTCAATTATCCAGTTATCACTAAATTATTTTCTAACAGGTTTAATAGACACAACAAATGAGCCCTTTTGTATACACAATAAGTATTTCGCTTGACCAGGATTGACACCTATGACGTCAGAGCAATGGCGCGTAACATCGGCGATCAAAATATGCATAATGAGAAATTCAAACTTTGAATCGCTGAAACATCAAAAATATTAATTTTCTAGCAAAGATATTTAAATATATGATTTTAATAGCTTGTAAACTTTGTCATATCAAAAAATTTTGAGACGTGATAAAAACCCTTTAAAATATGCCTATAAGGACCCATCCTGACCACAGAGCATGTCTCCTGAACAAAATTGAATCTTTGCTGATTAAGCTACACAGGAATAAACTTTACAAATTGAAACCCTGTGATTTTTTGAGGATTTTTATAAATCATTGCAGAACATTTATCTTTAAACTTTGATCAAATACTGAGCCAAATCTTACTATGGGACCATGATTTAAACAAACAAAACTTATATGTAAGGAAAATGACCAAATGTGAAAGAGACTGATTCATAGACAACAGACAAACATTGATCACAAATGTTCACTTACACCACTGATTCAGGTGAATCTTTGGCCTTGGCAAATTTAAAATGGGGCAAAATAGTTTGCAAATATAATAAGGCAAAATATCCCTGTATACAGTATATTTTCCACTTTCTTCAGCTTTTGGTATACTAATTTAACACTTAACATACATGACATATTTTTCTCTGTAGGCCCTCAATCCCAGCATTCAGTGGGGTGTTTTTCAGAATGTTTTTACTATCAATATTGGCACCATTCTCCATCAACAGCCTGGCTATTTCCTACAAGATTGATAAAATAAAACTGCATTATATATGAATACGATTATCAATGTACAGAATGAATTACTACACATGTACATAGTCATTAGTGGTGATCATATTTTAGTGCCTATTAATAAGCTGCTTCGTAACTGCTAATTCAAGTATACACTATGATTAAGTCAAATACATTTAGACGCTTGCTCCCAAATGTCAGAAATTATCATTATGCTAAACAGTTGATGAGGATGTCTACACAAAATTTTGATGAGATAATTTATGTATGTTTACAGTATGCATACTGATGTACATGTATAATATTATAGATATACATTTGAATGTATATCTATGAATTTTCTTAATAATATCATTTAAATTAATGAATCTTTCCCAGAGATCTGCAATCATATGGTCTAGCTTTATCAAAAAAACCCTGAATCTCCACATTTACAGTAAAACACACTTTATAATATAACGAAGTGCCAGCGAGGGACAATTTTACTTCATTATAAGCGTAATTCATTATATCTGTTACTTTGCTGTAAGAGTGAATTCATTATAAGCGTGTTCTCTATAAGCGTGTTTTACTGTACGTGAAAGTTGAAAGCTTACTGAAATGTCCTAGCTGCTTTTATTCTGTATGAAAAACTTGTTTTAAAATTTTAATGACAAAAACACAGTTTTGTTCTTGTATGCACCATACTTAAAGTTGCTGCTGTCACTAATTTGCATTTTAACTGACTTTATTTCATTCTTTCCATGAGATCTTAATTTTTGTAATTATCAGAATTAGCACTATTACTTTGGTTCAAAAGACAAAATTACATGTATACGTGCCATGTACATGTGTTACTCTCTGTCAAAATTTGTGGAAAGTTATAGCACATATCAATTTAAATGTAATTGAAATAAAATAAAAAATAAATTAATAAACATGCCATTTACAATCTAATTCTATGAATTAGCATAATGATGACAATTTTGAAACACAATATTAAAATGCAGCTAGAATTTTAACATGATCTTAGTGCTCATCACCATTCAATCACTCCAATTGCTTTTAACAAACCTTATAATTTATATAATAAAATGTACAATTTTCTATAATATTGTAAAACACTGTTGTGTTTTTTGCATGTAAAAGTATACTCTAGCAAATACATGTACACCTGGCATTGCAAAACAAACTAAAAAAACAAAAACTCTATGGTGCATTAGCCAGCCACCCTACAGTAATTAATCTTACAAAATGGCCATTTTTGCAGGCCCAGTGAAGGGCTGTATATCCCATTGAATCTTTGGCTTTCAACAGCCAGCGATTGTGATTCAGCCAATACTATCACAAAATAAAATCATATTAATAAAATATTATTCAGTTTATATGTTTTTTGTTTAATGAGTTGATAATTAGGAACCTTATGCAGTTAACCAGTTAGCAGTTGTGTATTTGAATGTCTTCCCTAATTCATATACATGTAACACTAAATATTACGATTCAGCCACCTAACATAGCCTAATACTTACAAAATGTCCATTCCTGCAGGCCCAGTGTAGTGCAGTGTTTCCTGATTTAGGCTCCTTAGCATTGATGAACTGTGGATGACTCTGAAAGAAAATGATCATCTTCTCCACGGTCTCAAACTCGTTATCCCTCGCGGATTTGATAAATAGACGCTGCCAGGATCCCGTGTTCCCAGGGAACACCTGGTACAGAAACTTGATCCCTGCCTTCAATTGTTTGTTACGACTTGGTGCCTCCAGGAAAATCTAGGGAAAAATAATCTTTTTTAAATTCAATTCAATTCAATTCAGTTTATTGACATCACCATGTTGGCATACAGTCAAAATAAGAAATCAAATGACAGATAACAGAAAAAAAAAGAGAAGAATATCATAACATAATTGCATGCAATTCAATTTTACACAGTTCCTTATAGACCTTGGGATTGTTTCCTCTGCATAAAACATTTATCTAAGTAGATACATAAACGTTTTGTAGTATTATAATCACATGGGTTAACAATTTCTTTAATGGGATCAGTACTACAGTATAATTTATCATCAAAAATATCACAATATTGAAATCAAAGATTGTCATACACAGGACAGTAAAGTACAAAATGTTTTTCATTTTCAACCAATAATTTACAAGCATAATCTTTTTCAAAAAGAACAATTAAAACAGTTACTGTTACATACACATCCTCTAGTCGCAAGTAATTTTTGAGTGAATATAAACATCTTAGATTTCTCCACAGAAAATTATAGACCTGTCGTGTATTGTACACTTTTTCTACCAGTAACCTTGAACTTGCCACAATGACCTTGAGTCAAGATTATGACACACTTTAAGCTCACAAATAATTTTTGTTAAAGTTGCAACTTTCAACAAAAATTTTATACTTTTTCCACCAGTGAACTTGAACTTGTGAAATGACCTTGGGTCATGGTCATGACACTGTCAAGACATAAGTAATATCTGTGTGAAGTATGAACAATACTTAAATACAATGAACACAGATTTTACACTTTTTCTGCCAGTGGCCTAGAAAAGCCAAAATGACCTTAGGTTAGATCATACACACCAATAGATCATAAGCAATCTTCATATCAAGTATCAACTTCCATTTAGCCTCCATTTGAGAGTAATAGTTGGGACAAAAATAAAACACATTTCTTTTGTCAGTGACCTTGAACTTTCTGGAATGACCTTAGTTCATTGTCAATAAATACCCTTAGATCATATGCAATATTTGTGAGAAGTACGAGTCTCTAAAGTTATGGTCAGGAAAGGAGTTAAACATTTTTCTGCCTGTGACCTTGAACTTTCCAGTATGACCTTGGTCAAGGTCATGCCACAACCAAAGGTCACAAACAATCTTTGTACCAAGTATGAGCTTCCAGTGATTCTCCATTACAAAGTAATACACAAGATTGCATGGACAGGAACCTGGACAGGGTAATTCCTATATACCCCCTAAACTTCATTTGCAGGGGTTATAATTTACAAAATAAAGATGACAACTTATATGCATAACTTTACTACTCTCTCAAGAATGTACATGTTCATGCATCTATTTATGAAGGATACATCTTATTCAATAATACCATGTTTAATGAAGAATTTCTTAAAATACCTCATACTCTGGGTGATCTCCAGGCATAATCTCAATTACCCCAGCATCTGGTAGCTTCAGCAGCTCTTTTACACTTGGTCCTGAAACCATAAATATATGATATGCCAACTCTCACACAATATTTCTTATCAAGCCCTTCTTTTCTCAAATGTCATAAGTTCAAAGAAATAACAAGAAGTCTGTGAGTGAACTAACTAGTAATACCCCCACTCTGATGTGAATATACACTCTCGTGTTGACATCGAATTCATACAAAAATGAATCCAACCATTGCATGCCTAAACAAAGATTGTGCTAAAATTTCAAGCATCTGCGCTGAGCAGTTTTGCTGAGAAAAGTGTGACGGAAATTTGGTACGGACAGACACATGGATAAACAGGAAGTTAACATCAAATTCAAACAAAAATGAATCCCACCATATGACATGCCTAAACAAAGATTGTGCTAAAATTTCAAGCATCGATGAGTAGCTGCTGAGAAAACTGTGATGAAAATTTGTTACAGATAGATCCACAGATAAACAGGAAGATGACATCGGATTCAAGCAAAAGTGAATACTACCATATGGCATGCCTAAACAAAGACTGTGCTAAAATTTCAAGCATCTGTGATGAGTAGATGCTGAGAAAACTGTGATGAAAATTTGTTACGGACAGACACACAGCTAAACGGACACACAGAGAGACAGACACATGGGTAAAACAGTATACCCCGCTCTCCTTCGGAGAGGGGGGTACATGTATAACAATAATATAAGATGTTTTGTGCAACATATTAAATATGTATGTAATACTGCTATCATATCAATGAGAAATTATTTCAGAGAATCTGAAAATAATGATAGGAACAGCCCTCAGTGTAACCCCTCCCACTCCCATCCGACCTCTTTCTTGTACTAACGGATCCCTCTTTTGTAATAACTAAATAACCTGAGCACAAATCAACCAAAAAATAAAAATCAAACCAACCTTTGTTGACCCCACTGAAGTCATCAGTAAACTCCCCCGTCTCTTTGTTTTTGATGACGATTTTCCTCCCCTCCGTCCAAACTTCTTTTGATGTTACTTCATAAAACCCAGAGCCATTTGTCAAACTCTGAAAATGAGATGAATACAAAATTCAACATTATCTAGAAAATATGAAATGCTACTTTTTGCCACTGATGAAATTCTGAGAAGGGTGAGATTCTCACCAAGCCTAACAAATGGATTGAAGACAGGACTCTGACAATATTTCTATAGAACAGTGCTGGACCATAAGGCACTTCACCGATAATTTACAAGTATTTTATTAATATGTGTCCAGCACTGTTTACTGTTTTGTTTGTGTAACTCTGATGTTATAATTAAATGTGCATTTGACTACATACCAGATTGATGACAAAAGACAAACACAGGTCATTGACGGTGATATTCCTAGGAATCGTAATAATATCAAATCGGCTTCTCATTTTGTCTCTAATAGAGCGTCGAACCTGAAGAACACACAAAAAAACATTGAAGTCCTGCATCATCATTAGTACACTGAAGAAAAATCGGAAGAATTTAATTAATCCCCAAAGCCATTTATCATTGTATAATCATAGGACTTCATAATTATCAAATATTTCTTTCTGTTCAATTCTCCTCTTGGTGATTTTAAAATGCCATTCTATACATTTAATGGTTTGAACAGTGTATGTAACAAAATGTTACGTTTGATTTGTACCTCACTCTTGGCATGTTCAATATGCTGCATCCATTTTTTACAATAATCTACATCAAACTTCTTCTTTATTTTATCCTGGGCTATTAAAACAAAATCAAAGTTTAAAAATAAGTAAACTGCACGTATACACATATCTGATCCAGGAGTGTTGATATAGTACTTTTCTTAGCATCACTTCCATTAAGACTTTTGTAATGATAAATCAGTATGACTATACAGCTATACACAAAGTTGACCTTCACCTTGTCTGTGCATTTCAATCTCATTCTTGAGTTCTTTCCTCCTCTGTAGTTCCTGCATGTTAGCCACTATTGGTGCAAACTTGTCTATCTCATGCTGGGCCTCTCTGATGAGCATGCCAATAAATTCCTACCCAAAAAACAACAAAAAGGCTGTGAAGAGTCACCTGAATATCATGAGCAGTTTCCTGCTTAATTATATCTAAGATAAGAGATTTACGAAAGCTGCATAAATTTGGATGATTTCAGTCCCAACCAAAGGCCCCTCCCCCCAGTTTGTGATAATATTATTAATATTACTATAACATTTACGATTTTGTCCAACAAATAAGCTATTATAATAAGCATATTGTACTGTATAACATTTTGATTTAAGTAAATGATAGTGTAACACAGTGGGAACTAGAAATAATTCATGCATTTCCATGAATTGTATATTCTGCTATAATAGATACCATTACCAATGTAGATAACTGACACCAAAAGACAACTGAGGCAATTGGAAAGTTTAATATTATGGAAGTTTTTAGTTTTAAATGAGTTTTAAATTAGTTTTAAATGATCTTCCATGATCCTAAATCATTCTCAAGTAAATGCTTACTATATACCTATAATCAATCACAAGACTTACAAATCTGTTGACAACAGCTCGACATTGACGAAATTTGTAGGCCATCATAAAGAAAAAACAAAAGTATGAACACACTGCCATTGGGTCTGCCTGTAATGTATAAAAAATATCATAATCAAGGCTGGTAGTAGTATTATTATAATATGAATATCTTGAAATTTAACAGGGCAACTGGATCCTGTAGAAAAGAATCTTAATAAAGAACTGAAATTTGTTAGTGTTCAATTGGAGTCTATCTTAACATAATTAAAGATGAAGCATTATTACCTCAACCAAATCTTCTGAATCAAATGGTGTGTCAGCATAAAACATTCTCTCTGCAGTCTTCAGTGCCAAGATAATTGTCCACCTTAAGAGATTTATACAGTCACTAACTCTCAGTCTGTCTTATATACTTGTACATGTCCTTTACCAGAAGTCATTCCATGAAGACATGCAGTCTTATAACATTAATTTTTAGGATATAATTAAAACTTTAGTCTAACATGCAGGTATCCTAGCCAATTTTATTCACAGCTGAGTGCATAAGGAAAGAACTCTTTACAGCTGTACATAGCTCAGCATTCAGTGATCTGACTAAAACTTTAATGACTCTATCTAGAATCATCTACAGCTCTATATTTCACAAGCATCGCTGTGACTGGCTCCTCATAATTCTTCAAACAATAATGCTAGATCATGACTCATCACTGTTAATAAACAATCAAAAAAAGTTTACCTGGTGCTATACATGAAAATTATTGTGTCTATTTTATCTAGCATCTTTTATGACACTTTGACAACATTTCAAGAAAGTTTGCAGAATCAGAAAAAAATGCCTTTGAACAAATTTACTTTAATCAGCAGGGGTTATACAATTGTAATTTTATTTACATACAAAATTGTATCATTTGATTACAACATTTTAACTATGAAATGATGTTTAATGCTCATTCAGTTTTTTAGTATTTTTTGTAGTCTACATGTATGCATGCAGTTACAAGACTACCATATTTCTCCTTTAAATTTAAAGTTACATATATGTACTGACTAGGGTTTTTTCCATTCCATATTTATTATCATACTGAAACTTTCGGTGTAAACATGTAGATAGTGTGATTGTGTACAGTAAACGATCAAAGTAAATACACTGAATTTTATACAATAATGTTGTTACATGTATTAGAATATTTTGATATTTTTTTAAGTCTATGCTTAGAGTTAAATAACTTCCATGGGTATACTAATTATATGTTCTTAATCTACATGCAGTCTGACTTGTTACTATACATGTATATAGAATATTTCATTCTATATAAGTATATTATACATGCTTCAATGGGAGTACCATGGGTATACTAATTGTACATTTAAGTGACTAGAATAACTTACCGATCATTCAGGAGCAGGTCAGAGGTAAATGTGTTAGGTACAAAGGAGTTGACTAGAGCACACAGCACTCGGCTATCTACAAGGTCATCTATGGACTGAAAAAGTCAACATTCCATCAAACCAGGCCAAGTCTAAACTCACAGATTCCCATACTGGCACCTGGGAGTGTATTACTGACTTTGTTTTATGTTAATCTACTGGCATTAATCAATGTTGTTATTGATTTCTGAGTGACCTGGGTGTTATGTATTAAAAGATGCATGCATCAACTCCATTCTACAGGGTAAAGGGTATCTATAGGAATCTATAGCACATACTACTTCATTCATCAGAATATTGCTAATAAACCACAAGTACAGTACTAAATTCATTGTACAGTATTATCAATGTATCAAATGTAATTATGGTTTTCTTTAAATTTAAGGTTCCTGTGGCAGTCAATCAATCAAAACGTTTAAACAATTAATGTACACTGTAACCTTAAATATTTCTCAATAATTCCTAAAAACTTGCTTTAATAAAAAATGGTGAACTATGAAAGTATAGGCATAATGACACGTACAGGTACACAGCTTTCTACCCATGAAAACCTCCATCTCTTTATTATGTTACCTTCATTTTCATTTATAAATTTCTAAAATTCTCCTAAACATATTAATATTATCATTCTAAGCACACTTACATGACAATTCAGGTTTTTCCCATCCTTGACAGTCTGTAAGTAAAAAAGAATTATAACAATAAAATTTTTAGAAAATTCAACTGTTCCAAAACTTAAGCATTTGAACTTCTTCGTCTTCAATATGTCAAATACGAAGGATATTTCAAACGAGTTGGCAATCATGAACACTTAATTCATTAATATTTAATTTTGATATCTCAAACACTTGAATTGCATTGCACTGATAGTTATCTGTCTACACAGTTTAGTCCTTAAGACTAGGATCCTTATAATTATAGATAATTTATTACTTATTATGTTTGTTTATGACTGTGTACGTAAATATATCAGTTTGATCAATCTCAAAATTGGCTTGAATTCACATTGTTGTCTTTTTGAGTTTGATCAAACTGTAGAGTCAGTAACAAACCTAATGTGTTTAATTTCTTGAGAACAACTAGAAAACTGACCAGTCAGCAAGGGTCCCACCGAGGGGTAGAAATATAAGGGTGCAGCTTACAGAATGAGAATTTTAATTGATTACAAAAATTTAAAAATATATGAAGAAGAATATGCAACAACAACTGTGTTTATAAAATTTCAAGATAATTCCTAAATATCCAACAACCTGTAAATAGTATACCTGTATTTACACAAGGCGGTAAAAAACACCATATCTATAATAACTCAATTAAATGTATATAATTAAACAAAAAATAAAGCATGTGTTTTATAAAATGCCAGCCTTCAGTGAATGCAAATATCACCCAGGCTTGACCTTAACTTCAAAAACAAACATCAGTTGCAGACAAAGGTGTTAATTTATCTTAAAGTGACAAATAAAGATGAGCCTCTAAAATTTTCTGCACCAAGCAAGATAATTAATCCCAGGGGATTAATTGTACTGCGCTCTCATCCTTTTCTTCCAAGTTTACAAAAGAACTTTTTCAGTAATGAAAGAATGAGGTTATTATCTAAATACCTGTTAAAATAAATAGTATTCTTGAATTTACATAAGGCAGCAAAATAAATAAATAAATAAATAAATAGAATAAATAAATCAATTTAAAAAACAAAAAAAAAATAAGAAAGATATCATTATGTATATCTTGTTTTTAGAATTCAATAAAATCATAACTCATTGTGTATTTCACCAAAATAATTAAGTATGAACATTATTTAAATCCACATTTCAGAGAATGTAAACATCATTCAGAATTGACCTCAACTTCAAAACAAACTTCATTTGCAGACAGAAGTGTTAATTAATCTCAATTTGACAGAAACGGGTCATGCTTTGGATTTTCTTCAAGAGGAAAGTTAATTATACCCACGGGACTAGTTGTAGCTTTCATAGTTTACAATAGGAGCATTCTCAGTAGTTATCTCTCTTTGCCCTGACATTCATTCTGATGTAAAGTTAAGGAATCTACCCCACCACCCCAGCTCAAAACTGGATGGCACAGAGAACCAAACTTAGCATCAAAATATGTCTTACTGCCTATTCAACCAACATACCAAATTTGAATTTAAATGGTCAATTATAAAAAAAGTTATTAGCAAAAAACAGAAAATTTGTGGATGGAAGAATGACAGATGGACAGACAGACAGACAGACAGAGTGATTACTATAGGGCACCCGCAAATTCTTGTGGGGCCCTAATAATGTGAGTGAAATATTAGGGATGGGTATCGGCAAAATTTTCGTATCGGGATATATCACGATTTTTTCCCAAAAATATCACGATAAATCGCGATATTTTTACACACAATTTTTACTACAGTTTCAAATGAATTTCCATAATATTTCTTAAAATATCTTTACTTTTTAATTTTTATTTAATATAAAACATGTTTGGAGGCATTGTTTAACTGTTTTCAACATTTTTTACACTTCCTGTAATTGTAATTCAATAGTTTGAACAATTAAATGAATAATTTCCGGAATTTATAGTTATGTACCAAATACCGGTATTTTAGTCTCCGTATCATGATACGTATCACGCAATAAAAAATCGCGATATACCGGTATACCGATAAAATCGCGCATCCCTATGAAATATACAAAAGAACTAATGAGCCAAATATTGAGATGGTTAGGCATCAGCATTTTTCTCACCTGCTGGACACATAAATATAACCAGTAATCATGTTTAAACCAAAGAATGTGCAAAATTTCAGTTCAAGGAAAAAAATTGATAATGTTTAGTTACCTTAAGTTGATAGTTAACCATCTCCAGTATACAGTCATCAGGGCTGGGATAATCTCCAAAATCCCTTTTCTTCTTTTTGAAGTTTTTGACATAGTCAGCATTTGGCCACTTGATCCAGTCAGCCAAATCTTCCTCCTACAGACAGTTTATATCATAAAACATAATTAATTTCAGGAAAGAAACTAGAAGATTATCTTCTATTAGTGCAAGAATCATGGATTTTTCACTGTTGTCTGCTATTACTGCTTTTAGTCATTTCTAATGGTATTAAGTTTTTGGGTGATGCCAATTCAATATTGCTGATTCTGGTGCTGGGGAAAATTTCCACCATAAAGAAAAAAAAATTAACACCTTTCATTCAAGGAATTAACAAATACAGTGAATCTCCATTGTTTTAGGGGGGACCAATCTTCAAGGATTTCATGGGTCACACTTTCTCGTGAATTTACATATATTCCCCATAATGACAATAACCTTGTCAATGTACATGTGTATTACTATCGAATCATCTTTATGAATGACTTTATACCACAAAATTATGTCCCCACAAACCAGTAAAATTTTGGTTGCCAACAAACACTGCCCCCCCCCCCCCCCAAATTAAAATGATTCCATGTTATTTTACACTTTTCACTGGTAAAATGTAGTCTAAGTTATCAATATTTAACAAAAACTTGTTTTGTATTAAGGCAAAATGTTAATGCCTTCATACACTTATGAAAAGTATTGAACTAAGAGAACAATATATGCCTAAAATGAAACTGACATCTAGTTCATCCTGAGACCCTGCTCCTCCAAAACCAGAGAGCAGAGATTTCTTCTGCTGCTTCTTCTTCTTTTTAACCGGCGGCGGCTCGGGTGTCCACTACAATACAATATCCACTTAAATAAAGGCAATATAGGATACATGGATATAGAGTCTGATCCACTGATACTTATTACTTCACATCTTGTTAAATTGAACTGTGCTATATTTACCTTGAAGGGGACCTGACAAAGAACATCCTCGTCCAACTGCTGGAGGTACTCAGCCCTCTCCCACACAAACCAGATGTCATGACTGATCAGTCTCCACAGCAGGTCAAAAACCTGTTACAGAAATAAATCATCATCTAAACACAAATAACATTCATCTTCCAAGTCAAACTGAGAATTTAAAAGATTGTTATACTAACATTGAATTATAAAATGCTACATAGTAGTGATCTGAAATTCCGTATACAAATATATATATTTTTTTAAACGTTAGTGAAAATATTTTGAGTAAAAATTTCAATTATATCTTATTAGTGAAAGAAGTACTCACAGGCACCTGACATTACTTATTTTTCTTTTAATAAAAAAATATACCCCCTACCTAATTATTAGGTAGGGGGTATATTTTTTTATTAAAAGAAAAAATAAGTAATGTTAGGTGCCTGCGGAATTACTCTCCTATTTGGGTCCTGACTGACCTGGTCAGCACTTCTCATGGCAAACAGCCGAGTGTCCACATGAACATCTGACGGCAAAACAGATGCTTTCTTCAGCTCATCCACTATCCAGTCTACCCTGGTTTGTTTCTGCTGCTGTGACAGGCTGAAACATATAACAATTATTTGTGTGCATAATTAAAAGCAATTTCAAAACAAGCATAACTGTGTGAAGGTTTTCCCTTTCCTTAAAGCACATTGGCACACAAAATTTTGCATCATCTTCTAGCTTTGCTAATTCAGATAAAAACTGAAAAACACAAAAATCAAAGACTCAACCTGGCCAATAGTAATTATACAAATGTAGGCAGAGTGAATATATGCAAAATTTGTCATACATACTCATCAAAGCTCTCCAGTCTTTTGATATCATAGCCAGTAATGCTCTCCACGAGATATTTCATGTGTGTTCCTGTTAGCAGATCCATTATAACATTGTTTAGTAAATGGTCGTAGGGCATAAGGCGCAGGTTCACCCATGCTGTAAAACCCTTGATTCTTGTTCTTAAAGACATGGTGGAAAACCAAAAAGATCAACCCAACTACATTATTTTTTCCAGAAATCTGTAACAAAAAAAAAACAGATTAATGCACATCAAGTCTTGATTTGAAATTAAAGTTAAGTAAAATGACTAGGAAGCATAGGTATTCATAACTTCAGTTATTGACAGATACAGACAGTGTATACATGGAAATTTTTGCCCGTTTTATTTTCGCTGTTTTCAGCCTTTCGCCTCACAAGTGGATGAATTTAAAATGGGGCGAATTCAAAGAACACAGTATAATTTCTTAAACAGAACTGTGACTGGGCGAATTTAAAACAGGGCAAATTGGGAATGGGGCCTTTGAATGGCCCTAAATATAGACAATTAAGAGTCCTGTGGATTATGGCACCTAATGTAACAGGAGAGGAGAAAAATGTGACAGACCAGACAGGGATTCAAACCCTGCCCCCTGAATCTCTAGTCCGGTGCTCTACCAACTGAGCTATCTGGCCACCCATGCAGTGATCAAACCCATCTGACCGCCACAGGTTAAACCACCTGACTGGTGATACAAGGGCCCCGGGTTTGTTCCCAGTCCAGCCATTTTTTCTTTTTACATTCATTTCTTTTTCCCTACTACAATTTAAAATAAATGTATCAAATACACTGAACATGCTGTGTATTGATAATCAGTAGTGCATCATTTTTTTTCATTTAGAAAAGTCAGACTGAATGTAGCTAATAAATTACGCAATTTACACCGCTTTTATCGGGAAAAAAATCGGAATCAACTTGCAATTGGAAGGATTGGTCGCACATGTTGACACAAAATTATATCAATTAACTCGCAATCAGACAATGATATGACTATAGAGAGAGGTGAGACTTACAGATTGAATGCAATATGACTTCGCTGAGTATGTCTACTGTATTGTCGGTAAATGTAAATAACGCTGTGTAACTTACGCATTAAATCGTCAATTTTGTTTAGATTTACGATAATCTTTCCCTTTCCGCCATTTGTAAACAACCTAGATGTTTCCAATGATTTGCTTTCTCGGAACTAATACTCGGGGACCATCATTAATAAAACCCGAGAAGTTCGATAGTTTTGAGTCTCGAACCCGATTTTAAAGAAGGGCTCGCCGGAACTCACTCGAGATTACTTTTAACACGAAATCAAATCGCCATTCATTCCACATCTTCAGACAAGAAATACCATGTTTTTTTTTTTGTTTTTTTAAATCGTATACCTATATACATAAACTTTACGTTCAATGTATATAGGTGTGGTACGTTTTTTTTTAAAACGGTATTTCTTGTCTGAAAGTGTCAGAATCTTTATTATAACAACTTTTTAAGTGTTTTTAAGGTAGATTCAAAATTTTTTAAACTTATTTTTACATTTAACAATCCGGAAGGCAAGCCCCTATGGGGGTTTCTGCCCGCTTCACTCCCCATAAACAGTGATGCGAAGACGAGCGATTGTAATTATTTCCAGCGAAAATAAAACAGGCAAAAATTTCCATGTATATACTGTCTGTATCTGACAATAATTGAAGTGATGAATACCTCTGCTTCCTAGTCATTTTACTAAATATTAATTTCAAATCAATACTTGATTAATTATCTTAATTATTTAAGATTGAAAACACAGCAAACATGGATTTCAACAACATATTTGGTGAAACTAGTTTTAGTTTATCTTGGGATGGTTTATTCACTCTCTCTAAAACTTTTTACGAGCCTCCTCCTAAAGGGTAAAAAAACTGAGTTTAGTCGGGACACTGCTGATATTTTTTCACACTGTGACAAAATATCACTTTTATTCAATAAATAAAAAAAAACAATGTTTCACTGTTGAAAATGCATCATGGGACAAATTTACATTTCCAAATATTTTTCCTTAAGATTCTTTGCAAAGTCGACAAAGTTCACGTTCTCATGAACTACCGTGGGATAAGTAGGAATGTATCCATTGTGAGGTAATTGAAATTAAAAAAAAAAAATAGCGCAATTTTTTTAAAATGATCGTTGAATGACAAAAATATGTGGCAAGTCACCAGAAAAATAATGTAAATATAAGATATTAATTTTTGAGAATTCATGAGGTACATGAACTATACAACGCTTCTCGTCTGCATATTTATCATGAAGCGCTAACGCGCTTCATGAAACATGAGGCGTTAAGCGTCGTAGTTCATGTCCTCATGAATTATCAAAAAAAATAATTCATTAATTAATGCCCCGCTCAGGGTTCATTAGTAATGCAACATGAAAATTTGTATTAGTGTATGCTCAACACAAATTTAAAGTCAAGGTCAAAGAAAAGCTCAAGGTCAAAAATGTTTGATGCAGTTGAATAGCTCTCGCCAATATGTATCAGCATATACGGTTTGATAAAAAATATCTTGAAAGGTTTTTGAAACTGAACTAAACACTGATTAAGAACAGTGAGTTAAAGGTCAAAGGGAAGGTCAAGGTAAAAAAAAAATGTTAATGCAGTTGAATAGCTCTCATCAATACTAGAAAGTATCAGCATATGACATTTGATAAAAATATCATGAACAATTTTTCATTGAAACTGGGCTAAACGCAAAGTGTGACGGAAGGACAGACGGAAGACAGACATGACAAACACTACATGCCCCGGCCATATTCATGGCGGGCATAAAAATAGCTCTTCGAATCTTAGAAAAACATTGCTTTATCAGTTATTGATAAATCAAGATTGTCTTTTTCACTCTAGTACATGTGATGATTTTTAATTGATAAAGAAGGCAAAAAAAATGTTGTATTTTAAATCTGAAAAGCGATAGAATCTTGATCATTACCATTAATGCAGACCCTTATTAAAAAAATTTCAGCAGTGTCAAATATTTCAGTTTCTATCTGACAAATACATTTCCCAAAGTGACCCATTCCTCTCTGGGTGGAGAAGGGGGGAATATTATATTTTTTTCCAGACTACCTACTTTATTAAGAGTAAAAAAAATGGGGTGGGTTGGGTTGTTGGCATCCTGTTCAAGTGAGAATCATTGACTAAAGATTCTCCCTTTAGACTATCACAGACTATTTAAAACATTATTTCTGGAAACATCCACTGCTGAGTGCCATATAAAAAACCGTAATTTGTTAAATGTCCGACAAGAAATGGTTAACCACCTCATAGAGCATTTTATTGTTTAGTCATTCGATCATTTTTTATTAAGTACGTGTACACTCAATTCAGATTTTTAAAAGAACGGGGTCGGTGCACAATTACTGCGCGTTATAGTTTCTTTTCAAATATGATAATTCAGCAAAGATATAATATTGATAGAGAAGCACAACTGTCTTGTTTTTTAGCAAAAGGTTGGCGGTGTGCTATTTGCAAGGCATTACAGTTCCCCCCTATTGCAGTATAAGCATTATTCCTCTCCTATGCAGGTCTCCGATAATAGGTTAATTGATGAACAGTCTTCCCGGTAAAACACAGCCTCAAAAAGGTAAGAACACCTCCGTAATTTATATGTCAAATTTGTAGCAACCTTTCGGATTTGGGTGGGGTGGCGGATCCAAAATACATACGGTAATCCAGTGGGAGGGAGTGGCGCTGGGTATCACAGTCATCAAAGATTATATCACTTATCTGAAGCATAGGGAGGGAGAATGTACCTCCATCCCGCCTTTTTCGTCCATAAATATACCAATCGAAATATTCCATTTCCCGATTGTTAAATTTTCGCTGCGCATTGTCCCTTAAATGTTGCATCAAGAAAAAAAGAAATCGTTAAGTAGGCCTAGATCTTGCAGCTGCAGGTGTTTGATTTTGTCGTCGTTTGAATAAAAAAAAACAACACTTTAATCAATTGGGAGTAAGAGGGGATGCACCATGTGCAAGGTACTTCAGTTGCATTTGTTTTCATTGTTTGCCTAAAACGGGATATAGATTCGTACACATAGATTTAAAACATACTGCCTTTGAACTATTTTAATCAGTTTAACTCAATCGTAGCATTACAAGCTACAAACAAATGATGTGTAAAATTTGCGTGTCAACAAATATTTACCCCTCCCTCTCCCAAGTAAATATCCTGAAATCAAATCATTCTGTTAATTGGATCCACCCACCCCCGAAACACATACAGATTCCCTAACCCTACCCGCATGAAAACATTTCTGTGTTTTACAGTTTCGTCAGCTCCCCCTTTTTTTAAAGTAAGAGTTATTCTTATATGAAAGATATTTTGCATGGCATTATTCATTGAAGTGATTTTTTTTTTAAAAAATATACTTCTAAAATCATTTGCCTTAAAAACAGCAATATTCTATTCTTGTACGCCACTAAAAAAGTGGCTTTTTAAAAGGGTTCACGACTACATGCATGGTATATTTTTCGGCGTATAGAATGGTGGTTAATTATACACGATTGCTGCGATCAAAAATATCGGTATTCCTTTTTATAAAGTGGCCTGGGAATAAGGGATATCAAGCATGCGCCGTTTATCAAAAACCATGAATGAATACATCTACATAACGGAATTATTTATTTGAAAGTTTGATATTGGGGGGGGGGGGGGCAGATAAAACGAAACGGATTGATTTCCAGTAATGGTGGCCGTAACAAATATCGCCATGTACACGGTTTCGAAGTGGAAACTACAAGAAAAATGTTCCCAACAGTTTATTTTTACCCATTTACTGAAGTTCTTTCCTTTTCTATTGTTCTTTTTCAGATACCCAATTGAGAGAAACTGATGTTAGTACCGACATTGAATAATACAGATAACATCATCTGGATCATAATCCTACTCACACTGTCTTCGTCAAGTACGTAAAATTTCTTAATAGGGCTGGGACGATATATCGAGATATCGATTCAATATGAGGATGATAGGCATATCGATACATATGAAGAAATACCGAAATATCACAAAAAATTCTGACCTATGATTTTCTTTGTCTACTTAATATTTTGGGTTAAATATATAAAATAAATATGCTAAATATGAATATAAATATGAAATACATAATACTTAACACCACTTGTGTAATTTTTTTTTTACAACAGATATACAACTTCTTTACATAAATTATTATTTGTAAAAAAAATGTTTTGTTCATTTCAATACAAAAAAAAAATTCATAACCAATTCAACATATCGTGATACATATCGTATCTTGGCTCAAATATCATGCAATCTAATTAAAATTAGATTGAAATATCATGATATGTATCGATATAAAAATGTTGTATCATCCCAGCCCTTTTTCTTAATTGTACTTATGTATTTATTCATTTAATTTTTTTTTTATTTATTCAAATATTTCTTAATTTATTTTGACTTTTATTTCAGTTGATGAAGGGTTGGCTCAATGTAAAAAGGGGTTTCAAAGAGTGGTAAAATGGTGCATTTCTTTACACGAGACTCCAATGTCTGCTGCGGACTCGATAAAGACATGTCATGAACAGGGAGGGAGAATGGTGGTTCTAGACTCTAGGGAGAAAGAGTACACAATTACACAATACATAGAAGGTCAGATAAAAGAATACTTATCAATAAAAATACGTCGTCATTATGCTATGTACAGCGTATTTGTCACATCTTTTATGAAAATCAAAAAAGAACAGATGAAAAAAAAAACATATTATGTAAAAATTATCTTGTATGACTAAATGAATTGATTGTGTGATTAAAAGAAATAATTATTCATCAATCTTATTTACTCTTTTTTAACTTCACAGAATTAGAATTTTTTAGAAAATCAGAAAGCAAACAGGTAAGAGTGACGATTTCCGGTCGTCATGTTGCCTACATTTTTTTTATTGAACTCTTACATGTACTAGGCCCCCCCAGTGCTAAACGGTAAATAAATCTGTAATTAAATTATTTTTTATTTATTTATCTATTTATTTATCTTTTATTTTATTTATTTATTTTATCTAATTTATTTATCTAATCTATTTTTGCGTAGACTCATCTTCATACATCACTTCAAGAAATGAACGAGATAGAAGAAGAGTCAAAGAGATGTAAGTACATGTACATGTAATTATTTACATTTGCAAATATTTTTCTTAGATGAACCTATTGAAGAGAAAATATGTTCAATTCTGTATGAACTTATTAGGGGGTCAGAGGTCATGGCGTGACCGAATCACACAGCGAGACGATATCTTCAGGTCTACATATAAAATTTCTGTTACCAGCTGGTTACGGTGACACTAGTTTCGAAACTTCTAAGCCGTTAAAGCGATGAAAAAGATAAAATTATTGAAACATTTTTTTTGTTCAACAAATGATCATCAGATCTCTCTTCGGTGTGAAGAATGCTTTTAATTAGCCTAAAATCACGCTTACCTTTTTAACCCGAAATTCCTTTGAAGGTATGTAAACTGAAGACGATACCACCGCTTTTGACTTTATATAAAAGAACTCATACAATAATAGTAAGATTATTCTCAGTAACGATCATTGTTTTTTTTTTCATAGGCCTAATAAACAGATATTTCCTGAACTGGACTACTGAACACGTCATCAATGTAAATATTCAAATGTTGGAGCGAGGCGAACTCTCTAGACCAAACAGCTTCTAGGTCTTTGCGCGTCACAACATAGCAATACGGCGGGTCGTTCGTGTAATAAATGCAGTTCTATTCAGAATATTCGTCTAAAATGTAAATAAAAGTAATAAACAACAATGTTAAAAAGCTCACTGGGAAATGAACTTGGTTGGTACGTGATCAAATCTTCCGAGAAGCCCTTCGGGCTTCACAGGATTTGATCACGTGACCAACCAAGTTCATTTCCCAGAGAACTTTTTAACATTGTTGTTTATTTCTTAAATAATTTGGGTGTTCTGTACAAGTTTATCTTCAACTTTAGGGATCTCTCTCTCTCTCTCTCTCTCTCTCTCTCTCTCTCTCTCTCTCTCTCTAACATTTCATTTTATCATGAAGGATTATCTTAAAGATCGATGATAAAAACAAATTCTTTCAAAAATCATGAAAAATGTTTGTTTAAGTAATCACGAAAATAACATCTGAAGTTATGTTATGTTTGTTTAAGTAAAATGAGTTGTTATTTTCCTGATTTTTGAAATATTAGGTTTAAGTTTAATGAATAGATTTTAATTTTTCATTCAAAGTTTCACAATCATGTCCTATGTTGTGAAAAAAATGTATAGATTTATAAGGATGATTGCAGAAGGGGAGATTTTTGAATATGATAAACTAAAAAGTTTACAATTCTTTATGTTTTAGAAATTTGATATTTGCATCATTTACAACCAAAATAGGTCCAAAAATATTTATCAATCCAGGCATCCATTTTTTTTTTGTATCATCTGTCCTTAAATCACTTATCCTTTTTTACTATGTAAAAACAGCGCTTTTTATATGTGTAGCACTTAACAAGTCTCATTTCTAATAAATCTGTAATTTCCTTAAAGATACCTCTGCACATCACAGACATATGTTCAATTTTTTATTAAATATAAGTAAAAATAAGTAGATATAAATAATGTTTTAACATGTCTTAAAAGTGTTTCGTCGTTAAACAATGAAGCACGCTAAGACGATTTATTTTCTAAACACAGTTTTTACAGTGTGCGTGTAAATAAAATATTAATATCTCAAACCTGCTTCTTCTAATATAATGTATTTTGTCATACAGTTTGTGAGGAATACCAAAAATACAGAGAAAATGTCCCTTCATACACCTATATAAAGGACAGCGAGGTAATGCTAGATTATGGACCTCATGCAACTATATATCTGAATGCTTCTCAAGCAAATCTTCAAATTCTAAGTTAATATTTATAAAACTGTGTTTCCTTTCATTTTAATGGATATATATACAACAGAAAAATTGCTAACGCACCAATCAATCTAATATGTAAAAAGAACATTTGCCTTACCATTACGTGTAAATCTAAGATGCCATTATCATATATTATCAAGCAAGTCAGATTTGCAGATGTCATGACGTCAATACTAGAACCTCACTTGCCCTTCTTGCCCCAAAACTAATTTTTTGAAGCCGATTGTGCTCATTTTTTTTAACGATATGAATATAGTCGGTAGCTACCAATGGTGGTCAGAGTTTGCAACAATGGTGGTTTCCCCGTTTCTCTGATGATGCTGTCTATCTTATCGCCTAGAAATCATCCAACACTTTGGCATCCGTATTCGGTCCACCACACTGCTGGTTACCACAGAGTTACAGTGCAATCTTGTAATAATTGTGTGATGTACATGTATAATGAATGCCGTGGCTACCTGACCAATAGAAAACATTTTCATATTGCTGCAGTATTTTTACCTAGAAGAAACAAAAATATTTAACTTGTTTAAATTATTTGACAAACCTTTTGAAAGAAACACCCTGCAAAGACCATATACTGACTGTTCTACCATGCTCTTCTATGATCAAATACTACATAGGGTATCAGTTACCCATTTTTTATGAATCCAACATAAAGGACACAAATCAAGGAAGAAATCAGAAATTTATGAATTCCTCAATAAAGCATGATTTTCATGTATTTCTCTTCATTTATCATTGCATTTATCAATCATTTTGGGCATTTAAATGCCTTACTTTTAACAATGATAAGTTAACATATCTATACAACAAATTAATCATAAACATATTATTTTAAAAAAGTAATTATTAATTTGTTAAAGTGATGCGTTAGCAATTTTGTCTATTGTATTTGCAATTAATTACCCTTTTGTGAAGGAGGAAAACACGGATGACTCTACCTTACTTAACCACGCCCGTAACAAAATCTAAATGTTTTGCAATGTAAATCATAAAATATTAATTTTATATATTAATTCTATACATTTAATCATAAAATATTAATTTTATATTGTAGATAATTCAATTTAAAAAATGCTTTCTTTGCACGTTACTTAGTATGGGAATTGATGTTGCAGCTTTGTAGAAAAAATACATAACCCGCGAAAACGGGTTATGTAATTTTTTCCTAAAATAGCCACAACGTTCATTCCCAAATGAATGATGAAAAGTTTCTGAACTTTTGTAGATACCGACTGGATCTTCTGTATCTACTCGAGCCAACAAGACAACTCCAGAGGGATTTTACATATCGCTTTCCGGTATTCCTGACGCGGGTCTAGGGGTTTGGTCTAATATTCCTGTACCAAGGTTTACAGTCTTAGGTGAATATGATGGTCTCGAATACAACATTGCTGTACATTGTAAGGATAAAGTCTGCTGCAATAATTACTCCTGGTTATACTCTTGGGTGGTAAGTGTAATGTTTATACACTTAGGGGTTTTAATTCATTGGAATCTCAAAAAAATGTTGGTAGTATAGTACAGAGATCTTTAAAACAAAATATTTTGCAGTGAAATATTCTCTTTAACAAGTATATAATTACATCGCCAAGCGAATTTTTTTTACGACTTTAAATTAAAAAAATTGTATCAACTTGTCTACTTGGACCATGCTGAAATATCACAATGGGGGGGGGGGGTCTCCTTGTGCATCTCTTTCAATCACTGTTACATATGATATTGTATTGGGAAAATGAAAAGTTCATTGCAAAAGATCAAAGGCTTCTCGAGATATCGCCCTAAAACGAAAATTGTTACACACAGACAAAATTATGAATTTATTATCTTGACTTTTGACCTCAAAGTCAAAGGAGTCTTTTGTAGGCCATGGGGAATTGTGATATAAAATTTCATTGCAAAAACTTAAAGAGTTCTTGAGATATCGTCCGGAAACGAAAGTGTTACACACAGACAGAAATACAGCTAGACGGACAGGTATACCCAAATTAATATCTCCACTTTCAGTGAAAGCGGGGGACAATGAATTTGAGTTTCACATCTGTAATCAACACACAGCATCACTGCATCTAGTAATGTGAACATGTTGAAAGTATTGGTTATTTCTGAAATTAGGTGAGAAGCACTGACGATGATTTTGTCTATAAAATCGACGCAACGTCTCCCGAGTGTGGTAACTGGCTCCGTTATGTAAACAGTGCTGTCCATTTTACACAAGAAAACGTACATGGTTTTACGTGCGCGGGACTGGTTTTCTACATGACGACAAGGGACATAACTCCACGAACCGAGTTACTCCTGTGGTACGGAGATGCATATGGGAATTATCTGCATTTGAAAAGAATTCATCCAGGTATTGTTTCGTTGGAAATCAATTCATGTTTAATTACTTATAATTATACTTGCTGCAGATCTTTCGCTCGCTGGTCTGAAATTTTTTTTAGATGGATGTCCATCACAATTTTTTTCAGACCAGCGAGCCACAAATAGGTTGTCTGTATAATTTATATTTAACACGATAAGTATAATTAAGCCTGTTCCTTTACATCTAATTCTGGCATTCAAGAGGCCCCTATGCCAAAATGCTCACCTGAAGTAAATTAAGGATAGAGCTATGATTTGTTGAAATTTTTCAAATAGAATGATTTGTCTTTTATGATCAATTGACAACATTAATCGACCGACTTCAATTTACACTATGTGGAAACCCTTCCATATTGTTTTGACAAATGTATCAGTGTTTAAAAGATTTTTTTAAAAATAATTCCCATATATATTTCAGAGAGAGCCTCGGGGAAAGAGAAAGAGAGAGGGGGAGGGAGAGAGAGAGAGAATTTTGTATATTTTCTATCTACCGGTTGAACAAGTTGCATCTGAGTGCACATTTGTTTTAAATCAGTGATTTTAACAGTGCACATACATGTAATTTTCGGAAGCCAAAGTATCTTACAATTTGAATAAGAAGTTAAGAAGTATAACGCGATGTTTTAGAGATTTTGGGTACATTTTCATTTGAAATGAAAGAAAAAAAAAACATAAATTAACTCTCCAATATATATATATATATATATATATATATATATATATATATATATATATATATATATATATATATATATATATATATATATATATATATATGCAGACTATTGCATTATATTATGTATTATATGGCCTTCATGGATTTTTGTAAATTTGTTAGTTATCAAGATTCTAAAATTACAAAATGTATTTGCTAACAAGGTCATGATAATGACCCAGGAATTTTTGAAATGCTGACTTTGATTGAGACTGTTGAAAGCTCTGTAACATCAACTTATTAGTTAGTATCCTGCCTCAATTTAAAAGCTGATCATACTCAGGTCATGCTCTAGCGTACTGAATATGTTGGGAGATATAACATCTTATGCAGGCGATAGTGGAATATTACTGCATAAATACATATGCTAGAAGTTTGCGATGGGAAATTAAGCCGATTCCAGGTTATTTTGTTTAGATGTTAGACGACTGTAAACGTCTATAATTAGTAAAATATCCAAATATTTAACAGACGATAAAGAAAGATTAACATGTGCATTACGTTTGACAAGTCCGTTTTATGTGTGTTATGATTTTTGACTTCGTAACCTTCAACTCTAAGACTGGCCTACTTTTCAAAACGTCTAATTTTTGTCGTAGCTATTGCATCTGAAGAGACAGAGCTTTCACAATATTTAAAAAGTAGGTCGAACATCAGGGTCATGAAGTCAAAAACCCTAACACATTTAAAAAGGCATCACTTGTGACAAGACCTTTCAAATGTATTGTGGTTTTTGACCTCATGACCTTAACGTTCGACCTACTTTTGAAAAATTTAAACTTATCCAAAAGTTTGCACCATTAGAGACAGGCTTAAGTATTTCACGTATTTCATATGTGCATTACCTGTGTTAAGGCATTTCCAAATGTTGTATGATTTTTTACCTCATGACATAGACATCGAAATCTGATCTTCAAAAACTTTACTCTTGGTCGTATTTTTGCATCAGTACATATTAGGGATGTCAAATTTACTCGGATAACTTATCTAAATACAGGATATCAAACGCTTGCATTTGCCCTTTCTTTTCATGACGCTAGTACTTGAGTGTACCTCTTATTGATCTATCACCAGAGGCTATTTGAACATGTCTATTCAGTGACCCATGGCTGTTAAACAGTTAAAAAAAAAACTTAGAGCTTGCGATAAAGAAGATGGGCGAATAAGGCGAGCGAAGTGCCTATAGTGCGACAAATATGAAGGTGAAAAATTGAATCTCAATTATAACAAAATTTTCGTTGATATTTCGTCTTACATTAAATATACTTAAAATCTCCAAAATTTGCAAAGATTGAAAATTTTTTGCCTATGAAATAGCATACACACACTAAAGAGGGCAAAAAGTATCATTTTCTCATAATTTTTTGATATGAGTGGGTCTTCGTTTCATTTTTTTTTTTTAAGTTTATCCTCAAAGTTTTCTTAAAAATATACATATTTTGGTTAACAAAAACATGAAGCAAAGACCCACTATACCTTAAGAATAAACTTTTATGACACAACATTCGCATCTTCTAAAAAATACCATTAAGTCAAGGGTCATATATATCACAAACATGATTTAAATGCCGCTATTTATTAGGAGCTGTGTAGCGTAGTGTTAGCGCGTTAGTCTCAAAGGATAATAATACTTAGTTTTTTTATTGCTAGGGTTCGAACCCCACGAATACCACATTAATGTTGAATAACAGAATAATTTTTGTCGAAAAAAAATTTCCTCAGAAAAGTTTTGTTCATCATAATTTCATAAATTTCAATAAAGATAACTTTACTCTAAATTCTAAATTCACAAACTGAATATGATTTTTATATATCTGAATCTATAGGCATTCTGCACGCCTTGTTCTGTTTAATTAAGTGTATCATTAATTTATTACTAGTTGCAAAAAGCGTGATCTTATGGTATCGCTGGTTGAAAATTTATAATTTGAGCTAACAAATCAAATATTTATTGAAAGCTCTCTCATTCTGCAGCACTAAGTGTTAGACAATCATTATTTTATCATCATATTTGTGATAGCAAGTTATTTATTTCGACTCTGTACTCGAATATTCGTTGACATCCCTAGTACATACTAAATAAAAAATATACTTTTTAGCACAAGACAAGACAGGTACAATATGCCATAGATCATTGCACCATAACCATAATAAGACCCCAACAGGTGGGATACCATAATTCTTTGAATTGGCTTGTTTCTCTTGCTTTAGCATCTCTTCCCTCGATGCCCCTTACAATATATCTCAGATGTGCCGATTGTACTCGATGTGAGGACTGAGATAAATAATAGTCTGCGATTATTGACACGTGAAGAAATCTTTTTTTTTTCAGAAAAGGACATGGGAAACAACGTCAAGATAAGAGTTAATGTCATTACCAAAAAATCGGACAAAATGTTCTATGAAGATGGCACTCCTATGAACTACACCCGCTGGGTTCCTGGATCCACCCGGGGACTTCCTGATGGTGTTTTTGGTTTATCATTGGTTCATAAAGAAATTGAATGGAAATGGCATCCCGAGAAAAACTATTCTTATTTCACAGGACCAGAGGGTCTTAAACTCCCATTTATATGTGAGCAAATGTACAAAATGTAGCTAGTATAATATTAACTCTATTTCCCTATACCCAGTGGTTACAATTATCTGCTATGCAGATCCCTGCTTAGTCTCCCACCAGTGAAACTGGTCTGTCTGTTAATATTGCTTGATATGCGATATACTCTCAGAATTTTTGTTTTAAATGTTTTGTGTCTTAGGTTTAAAGGCCATGTGCATATGTGAACATCTTGTTTCTTATGTGTCTTCAACTAATGAATAACCTTCGTTAAAACTGAGGTGAAATTCGGAATTTTACGTAATAGAAACTTCATGTTATACCGACATACCGGTATATCTTTAAAACCATTGAAGGTTTGAAGATAAAACCTTCTAAATGGATCTAAGAAAAGGTCAATGTTTACGATCATAAGATTTCCCCTCGGAAAATAGGTTTAATTTTTATAGAAGGATTTTCCCCCACGGAAAAATGGCACTAGATTACTCAGTTTCCCCAATTGAAATCCCAAGCCAGGTACAATTTTCCGTGGCGGGGGGGGGGGGGGGGGGGGGTGGTCCTACTCTGTGTACCGCTAGAAGTTAGAGTGCGATTTTCTCCAGAGTCAACACCCCCCTTCCAATTAAAGAGTATTCATATACCCAAAAGCACAATTTTGGCCTGACTGCAAAGCGAAACTGATCTTTTGAATAATGAAGTCTGTCTGTCTCTGAAGACATATTGTTGTAATTGTTCCGCCTAAAATTTTGTCCGTAGATGTTGTCGCAGATGGGATGGATGGATGATCTTAGTGAAACTTCACAAAAGTTATCATCAATTTTAGTTGTGCTTTCAACATTTAAAATTTTCAAAATGCTGACCATTTCCATGTAAACAGATTTAATATGAATATTTTATTTCCAGCCTCATTTTCTAAGTAACTGCCCATGCAGCCAATTCTTTGAAGCATTCAAGGATTGTTCCTTGAATTGGAATCGGTTGTAGACAAAGTTTTTCACTGTTACCATGGAAATTAAAAGGGAAATTTTCTTTATAATATGATTTTTCTTGAATGGTATTTCAAACTGTAAAATTTTGAAGTAAAAGTGTCTCCCCAAGTTTCTGGGTTTAAAATATCCAAAATGGCTGTTGTTGCCATAAAACCAAAACTGGAGTCTATTTCTGGTCATAAAAATTTAAAATTTAAATTTGCATTTAAAAACAGTATTTGCTTAGACCATCTTTAAAAAGAAATGTTTGCTTGCCCTCTGCCGACTCAGGATCTAAAAAAAATTAGGACATACGCAACGTAGTTTTGAACTTAAAATTTTCATTCTCTGTTTAATTTAAAAGTTCCATTATTGAAGGAACTTTTTACGATTTTATAATGCCTGGTAAAACTGTACACCTTCTCTAAATCACATTTTTAGGAAAAACCAGCCAAAAATATATCTATGTTAATTTTGCTTTAAAAAATACTAGCATTCTCATCATTTTATATCTGTTCAAAACTCCTGGTAATGTATGCTGATTTTTTGTGTAAGAACATCTAATGGTACTGTGATTAAAATTGAGAATATCTGGGAAAGTTATCAGTGGGAAAGGTACATTGTAGAGTTTGTGTACATGTACTTTGCGTATGTCCTTAAAATAGTTTTCAATGGGATGAGAAAACTTCGGAATGAATAAAAAAACAAATTGTTTCCCGGAGGTTAAAAAAGTTTTTGAGTAGGGGTGTCTTTAGTCGATTGGTCGGGAGAGGGCAAACAAACTTTTTTTTAAAAGATGGCCTTACTCTATTTCAACTCCAGTGGAGCACCGCTGGGATCATCGGGGGGGGGGGGGGGGGGGGGCTCTCGACCTGACTGAAGAACTACCCTAGTCAAATACTCTCAAGAAGGTACATGTATGTGGAACTGATCAATAGTTTCAAGTTAAGAGTTAATTTTTAGCCAAATATGCTAGATATGGTTAATAATGTTCCCGAATCTTACATTAATTTTAGTTTTTGATAGAGAAAAATCCTACTCTTGGAAAGTGCGTGGGGGAAATCTGGTAGTAGTGTAAGATTTTCTATCGGGGATAAGGATTCTACCCTATCCCCGATACCGGTATCAAAATCTATTGAAGTTGTTTAAATGTTATGGACTTGGAGTCCAGACAACGTTTTAATAATTTATTTCCAAAGATATACCAGTAGTAAGTGGACAGAGTTGAAAGCCATTGTTAATGTATAACAAATGATATATAGCACACATACACAAATTAAAATTCAAAATCCAATGCTATAGTCTTTGAAGCTTTTAAAAATATTCGTTCTGAGGTGACTGGGTGCTGTCACACTGTGGCCTTATTAAACTTCAGAAAAGTTTGTCTTACAATATTCTGTGTACATAATAAAGGTACGAAAAGGTAATGTGTGTTGTGTTGTTTTAATTCTTCGTTTTTCTTCTTTAACATTTTTCATTTAAAAAAAACAAAAAAAGGTTGTTGATGTCCTCATGTGAGGCATCAACTCAAAACATTTTTTATTACATAAAACAAACAGAATGTCTTAGAAAACATGCAATTAAAATTTGGACCCCTTCAACTGCGTCCATATCTATCACGTTTTCAGACACATGTCTCTGAAGTAAGTATTAAATGGGAATGTCAAAAAAATTTGCGTTTTCGTTATTATCAAAACATACAATTAATTAACATGTATTTGTTTAACTCGACCTAGAACTGACTATACTTCTTTCCTTAATGGCATTTTTCAGCTGTGTTTTTGAGGAGACATCCCAATCCATGTATTTACTATAGTGCATATAAAATAAATGGTTAAATTTTCGTCTCCAGCATTAATTTAACCATGATCTTTCTTTCTAAACCCAGGATCAATTCCGGTATTAAAGAATTCATTTTTTTCTCCATAACATCATCAAAAAAAAAAAAAAAAAAAAAAAAAAAAAAAAAAAAAAATTCAATGATTTGCTACTGATCTTGGATATTAAATCTCCAAAATCTTCCTAAAACTACCTTTGATCTCTACAGACGTGGAACATAATAATTTTAAACAGTTTTTTTTTCTTCAAATTTTGTTTATAAATATCCCCCCTCTCTCTCTCTCTCATTAAATATTGTAATTATGATTTGCTATGTTATGTTTTGACTTAACTGAGATCGAAATGTAATGTGTTTATTTTATTATAAAGAGACTACCATGATTTCTTTATGAGTATTTGTGAATTTATATCAAGGGGTCGCGCACCAGGCGAATCCCCTTAAATCCCTCTACTTGACATTCTTAGCTTGATGATATACGTATGGATAAAATGCAAAATTAATATAATGAAAATTACCCCCACTTTTCCACAATTTAGAAGAAATCATTAACTATGTTCATAGTTCAAGTTAATCCTACTGGAGAGTTATATCATGAATTGTCATTGTAAAATTTAACATTGATATAGCATCGTTTAAACGGATTATAAACGGAAGATACCCTAGAAATGTTAGGATATCTTTTTTTATCAAAGTTATTTAGAATTATGATACAATTGACCGTTTAGTCTAAAACTTGCCGTAGAGGTGGAGGCTGACGAGAGAGGTGCGTACCTGACTGAAGAACTACCCGACTCAAATACTCTCAAGAAGGTACATGTATGTGGAACTGATCAATAGTTTCAAGTTAAGAGTTAATTTTTAGCCAAATATGCTAGATATGGTTAATAATGTTCCCGAATCTTACATTAATTTTAGTTTTTGGTAGGGAAAAATCCTACTCTTGGAAAGTGCGTGGGGGAAATCTGGTAGTAGTGTAAGATTTTCTATCGGGGATAGGGATTCTACCCTACAACACCGGTATCAAAATCTATTGAAGTTGTTTAAATGTTATGGACTTGGAGTCCAGACAACGTTTTAATAATTTATTTCCAAAGATATACCAGTAGTAAGTGGACAGAGTTGAAAGCCGTTGTTAATATATAACAAATGATATATAGCACACATACACAAATTAAAATTCAAAATCCAATGCTATAGTCTTTGAAGCTTTTAAAAATATTCGTTCTGAGGTGACTGGGTGCTGTCACACTGTGGCCTTATTAAACTTCAGAAAAGTTTGTCTTACAATATTCTGTGTACATAATAAAGGTACGAAAAGGTAATGTGTGTTGTGTTGTTTTAATTCTTCGTTTTTCTTCTTTAACATTTTTCATTTAAAAAAAAACAAAAAAAAAAAGGTTGTTGATGTCCTCATGTGAGGCATCAACTCAAAACATTTTTTATTACATAAAACAAACAGAATGTCTTAGAAAACATGCAATTAAAATTTGGACCCCTTCAACTGCGTCCATATCTATCACGTTTTCAGACACATGTCTCTGAAGTAAGTATTAAATGGGAATGTCAAAAAAATTTGCGTTTTCGTTATTATCAAAACCATGATTTCTTTATGAGTATTTGTGAATTTATATCAAGGGGTCGCGCACCAGGCGAATCCCCTTAACTCCCTCTACTTGACATTCTTAGCTTGTTGATATACGTATGGATAAAATGCAAAATTAATATAATGAAAATTACCCCCACTTTTCCACAATTTAGAAGAAATCATTAACTATTGTCATTGTAAAATTTAACATTGATATAGCATCGTTTAAACGGAATATCTCTTAAAATATTTTTCATTATATTTCAAGATACCCTAGAAATGTTAGGATATCTTTTTTTTATCAAAGTTATTTAGAATTATGATACAATTGACCATTTAGTCTAAAACTTGCCGTAGAGGTGGAGGCTGACGAGAGAGGTGCGTACTCATTTAAAAGTCAAGAAGGCTAACTTAAGTTACTTTGCATCTTCTGTATTTTAGGGGGGGGGGTCGCAATTTAAAGAGAACAATGTATTAATATACATTTTTATAATATTATTGAGAAAGTCAGCGAGATTCCAGGAATGAGAGTGGTTCTTAAGATGCCAATGATATTATACATTACAGCTCATGAGAAAACTAAGCTACTTTGTAAGTGTGTCCCCTCAATAATTACGTCTGATGCCCTTATTTATTTATTTATTTTTGCTTGTCAAAGAATGTTTGCTTGGTAGTGCCCGCCTAAGTTCAGCCAAACTAAAAATGTTTAGTTTTAGACCCC